GATGCTCACACTCTTTCGGACACATCAAAATAAGTTAATAAGCTAATTAAAAATTAATAATTAATAATCGATAAGGAAATAACTAATTATCTAAGTTATCAGAAGATTAAGAAAAGGCTGAATCATAAACTCCATTAGTTCAATATTATATCTATAAAAGAAAAGTAAAAAATACAAATAAAAAAGTTGATTTCAAAATATTAAATAGTATTTATTGTCTTAAACTGATTACTGATTTCATTATCAGAGTGTCTTTACAGTTACCCTTCTCACGCCACAATAAAGAAAAATCTAAAAGATTTTACAAAAATATCACAATAGAGAAAGAGACCACAGAAAATGAGTATATATTTAACAGAAATAAATACATTTGAAAACACGTTAAAAAGCACATAAATATTAATCTACCAAAAAGTGATGGCATTGAAATAAACATTATTAACTTTATTCGAACGTGAAACTAAACATACTAATTGTTTGAGGAATATGATTTTTGAAATCGAGTGTGTGCCCTAATAGTCCATAGCACATATGGCACGTGAAGGATGTGGGGTAGCATAATAATTTCATGATTATATGGTTCATGAATTTCGAGGGATACTATCAATGGAGGCTCCTAAAAATAATTGCATGACAACAAAATGAGAATGTCAACTTTGAGCAAATCTATCCTCTGATTATATAAACCTACCTCCCGATGTACGGGGAAAAAAGGGCAACGATGACGTGCATGGGAACTAAAAATTTGGGCAATGTGTATATCACTATGATGTATTATTGAAATTCAATACGTTTGTATATCAGTATACAAGCTTAATTTCCCATGCTACACGATTTAATAATCATTTTACTTCACCAAAAATCTTCAATATGAAATAAAGGTAATAATAATACTTGTAAAAATTCATGCATTACATATATAAACCAAATATACAGCTAACCTCTGTCTAACAACTTACATTTAATATGAATATAAAATCACTATCAAAACAAATTTTCATGTGAATAATTATGTACACAAAATGAATAAGAAAAGAACATGAAAATTGAACGAGAAAAATAGGGGGAAATGAGCAAGGAATAAAGGGTGAAAATGGGGTGAAAAAACCATGCAAATCAAAGAAAATTTCATTAAAATGAACAGGAAAATACCATACGAATATACAAGGAAGGCGAAAAAAAGTAATGCAAATGAGTGAAATAAATAATGTAAATAATAATGAAAAAAGAGTGAGAAAACTTTATTACAAAAGAAAGAAAAATTAGTAAAAAAAAATCATTCAAATGAGAAAAGAACATGCGAAAAGAATAATTCAAATAAACATGAAAAATAGATAGGCACACAGTATATATGGACATTAATATACTAATTCATATACATAAAGTTAATAATTTTGGTAATACATTTATACTTTTTAAAATTTTTAGATTGTAAGTAATATAATATTATTTATTATAATGTGTGTGTATATATAATGTAAATATAATACAATAAAACTATAACATTATAATATATTACGGTAATATAGTTAATGGGTGGTAATAATAATATAAAACAATATTAATAGTGTAATAACATAATCTATATTAAGTATAAATTTGTTTAAATTAGTCATTGTGACTTGCCACAAACAAATAATATCAAATATCGAACTTAATAAAATAGGGTTTTTAATAAATTTTTATGAAAAAAATTTTATCAATCCAAATTAATGTTATATTATTTAGTATTATATTTTTTTATTATTAGATAAATATTAAAATGTGATATTTAATTTAATTTGATTTGATTACAGGCTGGTTTTTCCAATTTAACCTTGACAACCATACTCCAACACAAAGGCGATTAAATCAGCCAAAAACATTTAAGTGGTAACGCATAAACATCATTCATTAGGACCACGTCCCCACTTTTAAATGCGCATGTGATCATTTTGTTTCTCTATCAGAAAGAACATGTGATGCCATGAAAACAACAACGTAATAAAAAAAAATGAATGGCTAGTGTTCAAGAAAGAGACACTCGAATGACAATTTTGATGCACCAATTAGATTTAGCCGACTGTAGCAAAAGTCGCTATTGTGATGGTATGAGTGAGAGTCTCCATGACAGTGCCTCCCCAAAAGTGGCAGCAAATGATAGGGCACTGTATTTTGACGTTGGGACAGACAAGGACATAAATATTAACCACACAAACGCACGTGTGTGGTGTGTAAATTTCCTTCACCATTTTTGGGTTTCGTTGTGCAGACACAGAAATCTCAGATGATGTTAATGCTACACTTATCGCTTATTGGCATGTTGAACACACCTTATCTCATCTCATCGTGATACAAATGTAAAACGAAGAATAAATAAATAACCTCCCAAATTAGTTTTTAAATATATACGGGACATCAGTTTGTTTTTTTTAGTTTAAGCATTAGTTTAATTTTTTAATAAAACTCAATTTAGTATTTTTTTTTTTTAAACATTCATATATTAATGGTTATGTTAAAATTTTAAAACTAAATTAATTTAAAACATTGAAAATATCAACTTGACCTCCCATATATCTTTCAATAATCAATTTCCACATTTACTAAAAAAAATAATTAAGATTTTAATAAAATGCAGGAGAGAGAGAACATGGACTAAATTATTTGTCTATTTCTATACATTAAATTTTAGTCTTTATTCTTAAATAAAAATATTTTTAAGAACTATTTTAAATAATTTTTCCCATTATGCCACATGACTTTTGTAACTTTTTAGAATTTCTAAATTTTTTAAATATCATTCATTTTAAATCAAAATTCATATATCAATTGAAGATATCTTTTTTAGATAAACTTGATATTAAAACTAATAGACCGTTCATTATAAATAAAATTTTTTAGTTTTTAAATATAAAAATTATTAAAATTTAAAAATTTAAATAATATATTTTTATTTTTTATTTAATAAATTTATTTTGATTTAATGATATCTATGCAATATACGAGATACTCCCTAATTTTGAACAACTTTTAAAACCCATGCACAAAAATGGAAACGTACAAACACTAGTCATATAGAAAGGGCCGAATAGCCTGTTTCAGGATCAACTTAAAGCCCATGTTAACAATTACTACTCCAACGAAAAAACAAAACACTATTATGCGAGATGATAATGTTTTCTCTATCTTTAGTTCTCCCATGGTGTGTTTTGTTCCTTTTTCTAACCAGCAACAAACTACTAAGTGCCTGTTAGATCAATAAAACACACTTTATGAGTTAAAATCTACAGGTCGAAGTAAATTCATGCACATTTTGCGATGCACATCCAGTGGAAGTAAAAGACATTCGTGTATCCAACATATCTTGATTAAGATTTGCTTCAATCCTCAAAAAAAAAAAAAAAAAAAAAAAAAAAAAAAAGCATCAGAATTCCACTCTCTCCCTAAAGATGAAGTTTGCCCTTCTTAGAGAGCAGCAACTACTGTATTCCAAAGAAAACTAAGGTATTTACAACTGAGTTTGAACTAGATTTTAGACAAATTATCATTCAATTTAATCATGAAAATATTGGTTTAATAAGTTTTTGGTTTTGATACAAGTTTTCTGTTTAAAATTGATCTTGAAAAGAATTATTTAAATTTAATCTCTAACAAATTAAACAAGTAAAAAAATTAAACACTATTATTGACTTTCATCAATTAAGTGTCAAGTTAGTTAACTAACAAAAGTTCAATTCAATACTAAATACGTGAAATCTTTATTTTAAACAACACAATATTTAAAAATATTTTAAGGTAAATCTTAAATGTTATTTTAATCCTTATAAAAGTTTTTGCGTTTAAAATTAATCCTTAAAAAAGTGTTTAGATTTAGATTAGTACTTAGAAATTAAACAAATAAAAAATTGATCTTTATTTGTAATCTTTGTCAACTAAGTCTTAAATTTGATTACAAAATTTTAACTCAACACTATTGCATGTCGTATTTAATATACTCTTACATTAATATACAATTGTTACAAGAATGATACAAATCCTAACTCTCATGACCATGTAAAGACAAGATTACATACATATCTTATGAGATAAAAATTTTGTAATAAACAATTAAATAATAATAATTCAAAAATAGATCCCACATATTATTAACCTTTATTTATTTTTAAAACTATTTTAGAATTAATATAATAAAAAAATATAAAAACAACCCAAAAATAATATTTTTACTAAAACTACCGCTTTAAATCAATTTTTCTGGGCCGTTTCTTGACAAAATTTCACCAGTTACGGTAAGTCAGTTACCAGCTTTTTGCTCCCTGAGCTTCCTGGATTGTCTGGACCGGTGACCTGACAAGCTCACACTCCAACGATCAGTCCAATCTGATTGTTTAAACTTTGTCACTAAAAACTAAGATCGCCACCATTTTCAACATAGATTTAGATTGACTTCGTTGACCAAAAAAAAAAAAAAAGATTGAGTTCAAATAAAGGTAAGGATGATATGGTTAAATTCTGAACACAGCATAGCCCAAGGCTAGATTTTGTATTTAGAAAAAATCATCAAAATATATGTCAACAAAATTCCATACCAATTGGGAATTTTTTACTGCATGTTGTTGATTAACCAACTACAACAATTTAGCATTAACATAATCCTGCATATGTCAAACGGGCATCAGCAGAAAAAGATTAATGCAAGGGCACCAAAGAGACCACATCAAGCCTTATGGAAGTTTCACTAGTTCCAACAGGGAAATGGTTAAAGAACAACTAAGGGAAAGATGTTTAAAGTTGCAAAACTAAATAGCAAATAATTACAAACATGAATGTGGAAACGAAAAACAAAATCTAGAGAAGATCCTGTGGACTTACTTAATACCTCATATTCTGCTACTAGTCGTGATACAGCATGCAAGCAGGATCCTCTCTACTTTCTACCACAAAAAGAAATTCTAGAGGTTCATCATTAACGATGTTATCTGTTTAAAAAACAACAGAATCACAAGTAAAAAAATGGGACAACAATGGTTAACGAACAAACTTCAATTATTACTGAAACGATTTTCAAAATTGAAGCCAATTATTATTTACTATGAAGCAAAACTGAATAACGAATAGCACACCCACAATGCCAAGAAATGATACATAGTTTGATATGCAACTCAAAGGAAAAGCCCTTTCAACAATGTAGAGCTTCCTATCTTAATTCTCAATAATGTTGCAGGACCTTTAGTGCTCTGTTCTGTGGCATTTTTTGGCCTGAAGCAAAGCATCAAAGATAATTACATTTGAGATCCCATTGCTCCCTTGTGAACTACACAACAAGTCTATAACGCATGGTTTCACCTGGTGAATATCAAGCTCCTCCACCTTATTTTGCTTTTGTGGTGGGTTTATTCCATACCTAGCAATTGAATCCTAATGCAAGTTTTGATCATTTGATAATTTTCTGGACAGTTTCATTCAAGGCTCTACCTGCTCATTCAATGTAAAGTATTGATCAATGAATTCAAAGTATACTTGTAGCCCAAAACATCTTATGCTGCATTGGTGTGTCAGAAGAAATTTCATCAAAGTATTGTTCTTCTTCTCACCTTGTATTCTCATGCAGCACAACTGCACTATTACTTGGAGTCTTGAACCATATCATGGGTTTTTTCTTATTTCAAAATTCTTAGAAAGGATATAGATAGTACATATTACATTGATAGCACCCTTCCTTTTTCGAAACAGTTGAAGTGCAGTAGATTGCCATCTGAGTGATACTTTTACCAATGGTCCTTGCAAGAGCACTCTCCCCCAGAGAAATGATGGAACCTGTTTGAGTCTCTCATAAGGATTGGTCGGGCTATAGCAATTGATGCAAATTTCATAAATACATGGCAGTCATCACAGACTCGTATATTCTTTATGATCCGTATTGGAGCAACACCATTGGGCTTTCTAATTAAAGCAAACGCAAGAGCAAGTTTCTCACTGTGGCAAGAGATGGATCTAACTTTTTCTTCCTCCCCCACATTATGTAGGACAATGTTTGTATCTGGATTATACCCAATTTGTTGCAACGATGAGATCAATCTGTCCAATTCACCATAGATTTTTTTCACTTCTGGATGAGAGTGATCTTCTGAAACAAATCTATGGACCTCATTGTCAACCTCAATCCAACTGTATGCAGCAAACTTCTTTGCATTCTTTTCCTTCATGAGAGATCTTACAACAGCGACATCTTTCCATCTTCCACAAGCAGCATACAAATTGGAAAGCATGATATAAGGTCCAGCATTATGTGGATCCAGTTCAAAGAGATGACTAGCTGCCAACTCTGCGTTCTTTAGGTCATCTTTGGCACAAACAGATAGTAGGGTGGACCAAATCCTAAAATCTGGTTCATGAGGCATACCTCTAATCAGATCCACTGCTTTATTGACACCGCCTGATTGACCAAGAAGAGTGACCATACATGCATAGTGATCCAATGTGGGTGTCATTCCTTGTTCACTGATTGAATCAAAATACTTCTGTCCTTCTTTGACCATATCAGCATTGATACAAGCAGATAAGACACCCATGAAGGTAATATTATCAGGTTTGAAATTTTCTTGTTGCATTCTTTCATACAAAGCCAAGGCCTCTAGAACCTGTCCATTTTGTGCATAACCCAGAATCATGGCATTCCAAGTGATCACATTCCGAATAGGCATAGTTGCAAAAATGACCCAAGCATCCGAAGTGACTCCACACTTGCAGTACATATCAACAAGAGCACTTGACACAAGCATGTTGTTATCAAATCCCATTACAACTACTTTTCCATGGACAACCTGACCATGATACAATGAAGCTAGCTTAGCACAGGAGCTGATCACACTTGAAATGGTGCAACAGTCAGGTCTAACATGTCCACGCTGCATGTCACCAAACAACCTCAAAGCATCCTCCTCTCTTCCGTTTTGTGCATAACCAACTATCATTGTTGTCCAACAAATCTCATCCGTTTTGAACAGTTTACTAAACATATTCCTTGCATCATCTATTCGTCCACATTGAAAGTAAGCATTGAGAACATTTGAAACTGTTACTAGGTCAGGTTTCAAACCTGATAACTGCATTTCATTAAACAAATGAATGCACTCATCAGGGTTTCCCATTTTTACATAGCCAGAGATCATGAGATTCCATGAAACAACGTTCTTATTAATCATTCCATCAAACAACCACCGTGCCCTATCTATATCACCACACTTGGCATACAAATCAGTCACAGCATTCCATACAAATGCATTTCTCCCAAAATCAGCAATAACAATCCTTCCATGAATCTGTTTCCCCTGCCTCATATATAAGAGGTGAGAACAAGCTTGCAATGCATTGACATAGGAGTACTGGGTAGGCTGATACCCATCTTCCTGCATTCTCACAAGAACTTTCAATGCTTTGTCTGAATGTCTGTAACTTGCAAAACATGCAATCAATGTGTTATATGAAACAGAATCACGATAAGGCATTCGATCAAAGATAACATGCAAATCCTCAACCATGCCCAACTTGGCATAAGCAGAAAGCAAGGCATTCCAAGAATAAATATCTCTCTTTGTCATTTTATCAAACAGGTTTTGAGCATGTGAGAGCTTGCCGTATTTGGCATACAAATGGAGGAGTTGGTTGTGGATGAAGGAATCTTTGGGTTGAAAAAGGTGAAGTTCCATGTGAGACTGCAATCTCTTGGCTTGAATGAAGTCATTGGCCCGAACACAATGAAGCACAAGACGAGTATAGTCATCAAATGAAGCAGGGCCACGAGAAAGCAGAAGATCTACGGCTTGGTGAAGATTTTGCTTTGCCTTCATTTTTGGTTTGGATAACTCAGCCCCACCCAGCACCACCAGGTTCGGGTTCGATCAACTTCATTCCGTGTCTCACTCAGTTCTAAGTTCTTGTTGTGTGCCCATTACTTCAATTTCAACCAAAGAACATAATTCAGTAATTGAGTTTTACATGTCGAGTAAAATGCAAATGCACTCATACATTCTTCAACAAACAAAAGTAGCAATTAAATCCTTAAACAATTTGTATTATAGCAATCAAGCTTTCTATCTAAATGTGACATGCACAGAGCATTTATTTTTCATATTTTTAAATCAACACAAAAAATAATGTTTTATTAATTTAACTATTTATAAAAATAAAGTTCAATGCTCAAACTTAAATCCACCAACATCCAGAAATTTGTGGTTTCATTCTGATTGAGCACATCTAAGCCCAATACAATCCAAAAACCCTTCAAATCCAATACTGTTTAATCATATGGTCAAATAAGCCATCCTGAAAGAAAAACTCTTTCCTATATGTTAGCCTTTCTTAAATATATATGCCAAAATACTCTCAACGTTCAATCCATCACAAAGATCATCGCTTCATTTCAACTAAAGAAGATCAATGAATCAAGGAGATTTGCATGAATTAAAACAACGGAGATATCAAGTATGTGGTTAACCTTGAAAGATTGATCTGAAGCGAAGCGAAGTCGAATCTGGAAATCAATATAAATATCCACCATCCATAAACCTGTATCTTTGCAAGTGACCTGAATTTACAATAAATAAATAATGATGGAATAAATCTAACCTTTTATTTCCTTTATTTTGCTTTTCATTTACTCGTTTCCAAATGTTCAACACGCAAATTTATCATAAGAATACGTTAAGTCTCCAAACAGAAAGTGATCTTCAATGCAAATTGAGACTTTCAAATACAAGACAAGCAAGCAAAACTTCCTTCCCATAAAGCAAGACTGTCACAAACACGTCTTCATTCTCGAACTTGAAAGTGCCTCACCATGACAACAGCAACATGAACATGATTTAAAAGCCAAGCAACAATAACAAAACCCAATCTTCACACAAACTCACTCTCTATCACACTCAACATTGCAATTTCTTTTCATTAGTTTCCATAAGCAATCTTAATCAGTTTCAGCTTGAGAAGAGTCGCAGAACACCATGCGGGTACACCAAGTCGAGGTGGAAGACCTTCGCTCCCCTTTCGCGGAAGCGGCTCCCAATTTGTCCGAATTGGAGCTCCAGGAAACGGCCTACGAGATTCTCGTCGGTGCTTGCCGGAGTTCAGGGCCGAAGCCGTTAACGTTCGTCTCACATTCTAACAGAGGAGATAAACGGAATCCGTCGGCGTCGTTGTACAGGTCGTTGAGTTTGACGGCATCCAGTGAGGTGAAGAAGAAGTTGGGTCTTAAAACGACGTCGTCAAGGCGGAGTAAAAAGGCGGTGACGATGGGGGAGTTGATGAGAGTGCAAATGAGGGTTTCGGAAGTCACTGATACCAGAGTCAGGCGAGCCCTCCTCAGAGTAGCTGCAGGACAGGTCTCTTCTTTATCATCGAAGTAATTAATATTTTTTTAATAATATTATTATTATTATTTTAATATGATCTCTATTAAGATTTCTCTCTTATAATGAATGTATAAAATATTTTAAAATTAAAAAATATATAATAACTTTGATAAAAAACAAATAGTGAGATATTCCTAAATTAACACGAAAGTTCACTTTAATAATTTTGACAGTAAAAATTGATATTTAAGGTTGTCACATGTTATTGAATAGAATTCTACTATTGATTAAAAAATAATATGAATATATCTAAACAAATGCACTGTTTTTTTCTTAAAAAAATAGAAAGAAATATAAAATATAAACTAAAACTACATTAATGTTAAAGTATCTAATTGATCTTGATGAAGTGATTAATTTTAGAAAAGCCAAGGCTAACTAGAGGGAAATAATGTGTCTCTTTGTCCTTGTTTCCTTAAAAAAAAAAGAGAGAGAAAATATGAAATACAATAAGTAATATAATAAAAAATAAAAAAGGATAATATAATATTATAAAAATATGTTATAAGAATATAATGTCTTTTTATTAAAAGGGATGTGAATGGGAAAGGTGATTTTTAAGCTACTTTTGTTCAATGATCAACGGTTATTATGTTAAGCTGGAAAAAGGTTGCATTCATTTATGATAGCTAGCTTAGTCAGTCTTTCTTTGTTCTTGAAATAGCTAGGAAGACGAATAGAATCAATGGTTCTGCCACTTGAGCTAATACAACAACTCAAGTGTTCAGATTTTCCTAGTGAACAAGATTACGAGGCTTGGCTAAGGAGAAACTTGAAGGTTCTTGAAGCAGGACTCCTCTTGCATCCTCTCCTGCCATTAGATAGGAAAGATATTTGTGCACTGCGCATGCAACACATAATCCATGTAGGCCTTGAGAAACCCATGGAAATTGGAAAAGACAATGAAGCAATGCAAACACTTCGGAGTGTTGTTATGTCTCTTGCATGGAGATCATTTGACGAGTCTGTTCCTCAGACATGCCATTGGGCTGATGGGTTTCCACTGAACCTTAGGATCTACCAAACTCTGTTAGAAGCATGTTTTGATAATCATGATGACACATGGGTGATAGATGAGGTTGACGAGGTGTTAGAGCTCATTAAGACTACATGGGTTATGCTTGGAATGAACGAGATGCTGCATAATGTTTGTTTTTCCTGGGTCTTTTTTCAACGGTATGTTGCCACTGGTCAAATGGAAAATGATCTGCTATTTGCATCCAGTAATCTTCTGGCAGAAGCTGAGAAAGATGTCAAGGCGATGAACGATCCACTTTACTCAAAATCCTTGAGCTCCATATTGAATTTGATGTTAAGCTGGGCAGAAGAAAGACTCCTTGCCTACCATGATAATTTCCTAAATGGTAATATTGAATCAATGCCAAGTGTTGTTTCTATTGCAGTATCATCAGCAAAGATTTTGGCAGAAGATATCTTTCTCGAGTGTAATAGGGTGAGGAAAGAAGCTGATGTATCCTTAACCAGAGTTGAAAATTATATCACATCATCATTGCATGCTGCTTTCGTTCAGGCAAGCTCCACCCTTCAAACTCCTTTAAACATATAACATTCCCTAAACTTTAGACTATGCAATGTTAATTAGTATATGGTACACTTTTTTGGCCCCTTTGTGAGTTAAAAATTGCCATTTTTTTTATAAACTGCAGGAACTTGTATTAAGACTTCTGGTAACCTTTTTCTGTAATATGCAATAATAATTTAAATGCACATCAATTGATTTATTAGTAACACCATCTCGGGGCTTCATGTTTGAATGCTTATGCGATTTCTCCAAATTTAGTCTAGCTTAACTATTAATGTGTCTTTCAAGCAGAAATTGGAGAAACTGGATCCACGCAACAGCAAGCATGTCCCTAGACAACAGGATCAAGCCTTTCTAAGTCTCACCGTTCTAGCACAAAAGCTCAGCGAATTGGCTTTTAATGAGAAAGCAATATATAGTCCCATATTGAAGAGGTGGCATCCACTTGCTGCTGGTGTTGCTGTTGCTACCCTTCATGTGTGTTATGGTCACGAGTTGAAGCAATATGTGAGGAGTGTTACAGAGTTGACTCCTGATGCTGTGGAAATGCTGATGGCAGCTGACAAATTGGAGAAAGATTTGGTGCAGATAGCAGTGGAAGATTCCGTTGACAGTGAAGATGGTGGGAAATCGGTCATAAGGGAGATATACCCTTATGAGGCTGAAGCTGTAATTGTTAATCTTGTCAAGTCATGGATCAAGACCAGGGTGGATAGACTTGAGGAATGGGTTGACACAAATCTACAAGAGGAGGTATGCCTAATCTTGTTGATGTGCTGATAATCTAATCTGTTTGGTTTGAGGAAATGTTTTCTGTTTTTATTCTTTCTCTTGTTTTAATTTTTTTTTTTTCTATTTCCACTGTTTCCTGTACAAGTATTAGAAAATAGGAAACAAAATAAAACAAAGTAGCAATTTCGTAATTGAAAGCAATAGTAAAAATAGCAAAAGTTTCTCGAAATCATGAAGTCCTAAGTTATTTATTTCTCTTCTTTTCTTATCAAAGAGAATTCCTTAAAAAATGTGAACTTTATACCATGCAAATAAAAATGGAACAAACCAAACAATGAGAAAACTGTTGTCAATGCATAATTAACAAACTTTGATTTATCGCTATTCCCTCTGCTTGTGCCCATAAAAAAAAAATAATTAAAATTTTGAGATCTTCCAAAAGAAGCTTAACTATTTATTAATATTAGTATTCTGTGAATCAAATAAAAGAAATCAAGCTTCTTCTTTTTTTATCATTACTGTAAAGGGAAATGCATCTTTTCTTTTTCCTTCTTTTCATTTTTGGGGGTGCTTGAGATATCAAGTGTCTTTCTTCTACGAACTTGATTTTGAAGCTCCTTAATGCTCTTATACACTACTACTAGACACCTACAACTTGCTCTAATCAAAATAATTTTATTTTTTTTCATTTATGATACATTGATAGATGACCTCACATCACCATACCTTTATCTGCAGGTATGGAATCCACATGCAAATAAAGTGTGTTTTGCTCCTTCTGCTGCTGAAATTCTACGAATCATACATGACTCTCTAGAAGCATTCTTTCTGTTGCCTATACCCATGCATGTAGTTTTGCTTCCTGAATTGATGTCTGGTCTTGACAAATCACTCCAACAATACATCTTGAAGGCCAAATCTGGCTGTGGTATATATTTACAACATAACATTTGATATACCAAAAGAGTTATTCAGTAGTTAGTCTCCATAATGACCAGGCTTTCTTTTGATACTATGAACTGCAGGGAACCGTAACACTTTCATCCCAATCATGCCTGCTTTGACTCGGTGCTCCACAGGATCAAAATTTAATGGTGTATTCAGAAAGAAAGAAAAGTCACAAGTGACTCAGAGAAGGATGTTCCGCGTTGGAACTACAAAGGCGGATAGCTCATTTGGATTACCCCAACTTTGTGTCCGCATAAATACTATGCTGCGCATTGGCATGGAACTAAAGGTTTTGGAAAAGAGGACACTTTCCCGTATTGGTAGTTCTAAATCCACTAAAGAGGATGGTATAGAGGAAAGGTTAAAGTTCAAGCTTTCTATAGCTGCTTCTGTGGAGGGCATCCACCAACTCTCTGAGGCTATGGCATATAAAGTGATTTTCCAAGATCTCTGTCATGTTCTTTGGGAAGGCCTGTATGTTGGTGAAGTTTCCTCGACTAGGATTCAGCCTTTTCTTAAGGAACTTGATCAATGCTTGAAGATTATAGTGTCAACAGTCCACAACAGGGCCATAACACATGTAATTACTGAGCTAATGAAGGCTTCTTTTGATGGGTTCTTGTTGGTTTTGTTAGCTGGAGGTCCAGCACGTGCTTTCTCTCTTGAAGATCATGCTATAATAGAGGAGGACTTGAAGCTTCTAACTGATTTGTTTTGGTCCAATGGAGATGGTTTACCTGCTGATTTAATAGAAAAACATTGTACAACTGTTAAAGCTGTGCTTGCCCTGTTCAGCGTGGATACTGAGCACTTGATTGAGCTACTCAGTCAACTTATTCTGGAAACGTATGGTGCTTCAGCTAAATCCCGGTTTCCTTTGCCCCCAACATCTGGTCAATGGAATCCAAGAGAACCAAACACTCTTTTGCGAGTTTTGTGTCATCGGAATGATGACATTGCTGCTAAGTTCCTTAAAAAGAACTGCAATTTGCCTAAGAAAGTCTAACTGCTAATAAATGAAACATGGTGTGACGCATAATACTCTGAATCAAGGAATAGCTCCAGAGAAGAAATCGATATTATGCCTTGTACACTGTATTTGTGAGATTATTCGGCTTTCCAATTTGTTCACCTAGTGCAGCAGTCTCTGCCATAATACCTTTATTGACCCCGCCAGGAGGATATGTATTTGTAATTAGTAATTCTCTATTCTGATCATTTCCTCTGGTAAGGCCCTCTCCGACGATATTTCTAATTTGTTCTAATTTTCTGATAAATTAAGATATATCCTAATGAAATATTAATCCCGTAAAATGCGAAATCCTAATCAAGAAATCTTTAACATGATAATGTTTCCTTATTAAGAACATTTTCTTTAAATACTTTCAAAAATAACATGATTATCAAACAAATAATATGATTATCGAACAATCCAATAATCCAGAGAATTGCTTCTCCATGCTACATCTCATTGGTAAGTGCTTCCTTAACTTGTGTAGGCAGTGCAGCCTTAAGATGATCTCTCTGATATGGTACTTAATTTGATGTTCAAATCTCTTCGTTGTTTTTGGGGGCTTCGACCCTCGTAATAAAAAGCAAAGGAATCTTATAATGCAGATCATAGGCAATGCAAGAAAGTTTTTGAAATGATACAAAATTTGAAAGACTAACGAGGTAAAGCTATAACCTTAGACGCAGTAAGTAGACGGTTTATTCATTTCTTTGTCATGTATAGCCCTTATAAACAGAATTCTGGTAGCCATTACCCGACCAAAAAATAGAATTATAACCACCATCTAGTAGAACAACACTGGAGGCTGTAAATCTTGAAGAATTGCAGAGCTGCTGATATGGATGTTACAATCTTATAGACAATAAATATTTACTCGGTTATGGATAAGAAATTAGTAAAGAAAATTTAATCGAATCTCTGGACGATCATTAATATACATCCTCCGTACACCACAAGGGTAGCTGGAAATATCATTAACGCAGCAGAAAGAAAGCTTACTCCAAAATTGGTAGCCAAAAATACATAAATAAACCGAAATGTGGTCTGCAAAACAAGAAATATATAATTAGCATATTCATTCGCCTGGAAACCAATGGTCAGGCCACAACATTGTCCAGCGGCTGATAAGCATATCTTCATTTGGTGGATCGAGCCAAATCATCTATCTTTCAAACCAGAATCTGATTGCATGAAAGAGATTTCCCAAGAATGAATTAAAATGCAATCTGAAACACAACTATTAACAATGAAAAAAAGCAAACATATAACGACATATAACTTACAAATGGATTTGAAAAGAAAAACCTTCAAAGCAACGGTTGTCAGAAAAGCTGAAGCCAAGAAACTTCTAAGAAAATACATCAGAATCAATTTGTTGGATGTTGGGGAAGATTTCCCTCAGGACTGCAGTGTAGTTGGGTGACTTGGCCTGCAAGAAGAAAAAGCAAGATTAGTTTGAATAAATACAACCAAAAAACCCTCAAGGAGGAACACCTGGGAAGATATAACTGGAATCTATCATTGAAGGATTGTGTCTCTGTGTGTGTGTGTCAAAGTAATCTTCCATCTTGAATCAAAAGCTCTATGCTGAAAATATACAACAGTCCAACAAACAAATGACACTTTTACAAAGCCTTCTTTTATTTCTCCAGCCAAACACCAAATGAAATAGTATGTGTCGTGTTTGGATATGTGTAGCATTTGAGATTTGGGCACATTCTCATTGCAAATGCTACTCTTTTGTAGCGTTAAAACAACCTGCTTCAAAGGCTAAAGGACGAGAAAACAAACATACAGATAGTAAAGAAACCTTGTATTAGGGAAACCTGCATTCACATTGATAATGAGAATGATAAAGATATGTGACTTGTCATTTACCTTGATGATAGTGGCAATGGGGGCTAATATGTTCTAAATGAAACACAATTAAGATTATCCACACTTTATGCTCAAACAATACAACTCCCAAACAAGATAAAATGAATCATGATGGTTGAAAGTAATGAAAGACCCACGAAAAAGGAAATGAAACTCATAGTATATTGCAAAATAATCATGCATATCACAATTCCCAAATATAAAGGTTTCAAGAATAAATTCCCAAGATATGTAAGGTTAAAAAATAACCGTACACATGGGTTATTTTCTAGGTAGATAGTGGTAAGCTTCTCTCTTGAACCAGTAACAGCCTGAGCAATTCCTTCGAGGGATGCTATTTGGTTGTCATTAAGCCACAAATCCTCTAATCTGCAGCAGTAGATTAAACAAAGCAATGGAATTAACAACATAAAGCCAGAAAAGAATAAGAGCTTGTTTGATTAGAAGTTAGAAAATTAACTCTCCCACTTTCCAATGAAAAACACATTTCAATAAAAATGTGTGATTCAGATTAATTAACATCTATCTCATTCATATTCAACAATTCAAAATTAATCATCAAAATCAATTCAACTCAACTTTAAATAAAAAACGGGCATAAGTGTGGGGAGTTAAACGGAGGAATAAACATACTGCATCAGGTTCAGAATGTCATCCACAGATGTTAGCTTATTTGATGAAACATCTAAAACCCGGAGATTGACTAACGATGACAAGCCTTCCATTTTTGTGATTCCATTATGGCTCAAGTATAGTTCTTCTAGAGCTATACAACCCTGTACAACAGAAATAAGGAAAACAAATTAGCATCTATAAACGAAACTAATTAAAAAAAAAAAACTCCCTCCATCAATCAACAAGTTCAAACTTTTGGAAACCAATAATTTGGTTTGATGACTCAATATTTTCCCCCAATCAATTGTTTTACACTAGCAAAAGGCATACCTCAAACCCCGTCATTGAAGTGAGCCGATTACTTTGCAAACTAATCTTCTTGATGCATTTCAGACCACAAAGATTCACAACCTTAATCCGATTCCGTCCAAGCCAAAGCTCCTGCAAATTAGCGAGAGTCTGCAAATTCTCCATCACCTGAATCAGGAAAGGAAACATCAAAACACCGTTGAAAACAAAGAACGCGATTACTCAACACCCTCACACCAACACACCCGCAATTTATTGGAGCCAAGTTCAAGAATCTGCAGTTGATGGAAGTGATCAATCTCCTCAATCTTCGGAACTTCATTTTTGGACACGTAGAGCTCCTTGAGAGTGTTGGAGACCCTGGACAAGCCATGTAGCGAAGTGATCTCGTTGAACGAAACATCAAAAACCAGAAGCTTCTGGAATATGCTGACATCAGGAACGTTCCTTAATTGATTATCCCGCAGCACAAGCTCCTGCATAAAAATAAAAAACCGTTTCAGCAATTTGAATGCATCCAAACAGAGCCTTGAATGATATGAAGAGAGTACTTCGAGAGAGGAGAGGGTGGTCCAGGAAGAGAGGGGCTGAACGGCAGCGTCGGTGACGAGGTTTTGACGAAGCGAAAGCTTCTTGAGATGGGATAGGTTCGCTATGCGAGGGTCCAACGTGGACAAACGATTCGCGGTGAGGTCTAACTCGGTGAGGTTGGGTGATAACTCGACCGAGTCGAGGTCGTGGAGTTGGTAACTCGTGAGATCGAGAAGCGTCGATGAAGAATCGTCTTCGTCCAGATCCGAAACCGCCGATGATTCCACTCCCTCCTCCATCTTCCTACTGAAGAATCTCCCAATTTCAGTTTCTGCTCCCACAACAGCCAAACACTGTCAGCAATTCAAACTATTTATAGCATTTTTATTTTTGATGGCCCATCCCGGCCCAGGCCCGCTATTTTAAGGTTAAAAAATACAAGCTTGTTATCATCAATTTAAACTCACCTTTTTCAAAAAAAAAAAAAGAAGAAGAAGAAGAAGCTCGCCGTAATTATTTTTTTAAAAAACTCAAACTTTTTATTTATTATTACACATAATAATAAATTAATAATTTTTAAAAATATAATATTTGATAACATCAATAAATTATATTAAATTTTATAATTTTTTTATAATTAATACTTATTTAATAATTATTTTTAATATTTAAAAAATTATACTTTAATTTATATATGAATATTTTATTATATTTTAATTTTTATTGTTATAATATTATTAATAAATAATATTATTTTTTTAAATATTATAACGACTTACAATGTTTTAAAATATAGTTAATTAAATGTTTATGTTTTAAAGTATTACATAATTTGAACTTAATTTCTAATTATTTTTTAAAAATATAAATTATATTTTTTAACAAATTATTATGTTTTAGTATTTCTATTTAATACAATTTGTTAAAATATCGTCGAGTATTATTTTGATTACATCACATAAGTTAGAATAAATAAAAATAATAATTAGTGAAAAAATAAAAATTACATTCTAATAAAATATTTAATCAAAATAAATTTAAATTATGTAACTTTTATACGATGAAGAGCTTAATCAAGTGTATTAAACCATGATAAAAGATAAGGATTAATTTCTAAAGAAGAGCAAATGTGTATTTTGTTTTTAATTAAGAAGCCCATTCTTTTGCGCTTGTCTCTCCTATCGGATGGTTCTGGGAGGACGAGGATGTAGCAGCACCACGTTACTATTATGTCTATCATTCCTAATCATATTTGGCAGATGTCTAGTTTCATACAACTTAGATTCCTCGTTTCTTGTCGTTGTTTATCTACCCAACGTTGTACTACTCGATCTTTTGTGGATTCTGGGAACGACCGTGTTACCTTGATAGCTACTCAGCTGTCTAATTGTACTTGTGTACCGGAAGTTAACCAAGTGTATGCGCACGTTCTAAGGACGCACTTTTTGATCTCCTATCCGGCACCATTTAATTGGAACAATGTTATAAGATCATACACTAGGCTAGAGGCTCCACTCCACGCGCTTCGGATCCATGTTTCCATGTTGCGGGCAGGGGTTTTGCCCGATTGTTACACCCTTCCCGTTGTGCTCAAGGCCTTGTGCCAATCTTTTGATATTAAGCTTGGCAAACAGGTTCATTCTGTTGGTATCAAGCTTGGACTTCAATCTAACGAGTACTGCGAAACGGGGTTTATATGTTTGTATTTTAAAGCTGGAGAATTTGGAAGTTCCCGTAAGGTGTTTGACGAAAATCCTGACCCAAAGCTTGGTTCTTGGAATGCTGTGATAGGTGGTCTTTCCCAAGCTGGTCTTGCCAGGGATGCGATACGTGTGTTTCTTGATATGAAGAGGAGCGGATTTGTGCCGGATGGTGTCACTATGGTGAGCGTCACGTCGGCTTGTGGAAGCATTGGTGACTTCAACCTGGCTCTCCAGTTGCATAAATGTGTTTTCCAGGCTAAAGAAGCTGAGATAGTTGACATTTTGATGTTGAATTCGCTGATTGATATGTATGGAAAGTGTGGGCGAATGGACTTGGCTTACAAAGTTTTTGTCACGATGGAGGAACGGAATATATCATCATGGACATCCATGATTGTGGGCTATGCGATGCATGGACATGTGGAGGAAGCGCTTGAATTCTTCGGGCGTATGAGAGCGGCTGGAGTGAAGCCAAATTATGTGACTTTTATTGGTGTACTTAGTGCTTGTGTGCACAGTGGGACAGTTCATGAAGGAAGACGTTACTTTGATATGATGAAGAATGTTTATGGCATAACCCCCCGATTGCAACATTATGGATGCATGGTGGATCTGCTGGGTCGAGCAGGATTGCTTGATGATGCCAGAAAATTGGTGGAGGAGATGCCTATGAAGCCAAATTCAGTAGTATGGGGGTGTTTGATGGGTGCGTGTGAAAAATATGGGAATGTGGATATGGCCGAATGGGTAGCTAAGCATTTGCAAGAATTGGAACCTTGGAATGATGGTGTTTACGTGGTATTGTCTAATATCTATGCCAATAAAGGCTTGTGGAAGGAGGTGGAGAGAATCAGATCGGTCATGAAAGAAGGAAGACTTGCTAAGGTTCCTGCATATAGCCTGACGACAAATTCAGATTAAAGATTCAATAATAATCTATTTTTGCATTGAGGATTGGAGAATCAATTATAGTTCTGCTTCTGTCGATCATGACTTGAAAATTGAAATTTTGTTTTCAGTGATAAATACTCCATAAACACAAGATATTTCTTTAACCAGTATTTTCTGTGTTTGTGGTGGGTCGGTGGGAGGAAGACTAAAGTTAGGTATGATAGCTCATTAGAAAGTAGGGAAATTTTATCTGTAAATTCTCTGTTGTTAATTACAGAAAGGGGTATTTTTTTTTTATTTTAAGATTTCATAAGGCAAGGTTTAATTCTAGTAATAGTAACTGAGGATTGAGAAACACATCCTTGCCTGATGAAATTTGTTAGGCCCTAGATTTTTTGTGTCCATAATTTTTAAGCCCTATTTTATATTCTTATTTATCTTTTTTTTTTAATCACATCTCCCACATGAGTGTATCCATCCCAGAAGTGTAAAACAAACATTATTACATGTAATAATAGCCTAACAGGTTCTCGATCTCTTTTTGGAGAATCCCAATCAATAAATGTAGTGAATGCTGTAACGAGGGGGTACTGCTGGTTAGGTGTAGGCGGGTAGCGCTGCAAAATTTTGAGCTGAATGTAATTAAAGTTGCACCCGTTTATGCTATCTTTTTCTCAGCTTTTTGAATCATTGAGTAAGGACTACAGCCAAGCCAACTACGTTTTTGCAACTTGCAAAATGTGATTATAATTATGAAGTACGACGTTCTGATCGAAAAAAAAAAAAAAGTATTATGGGTAAACAAGGCATCACCTATTACCCCAAAGCCAAGTCGAACGAGTCACCAGCATCGTTATGATCATTATTGTTGCCTCATATCCGTGCAGTAACAGCTACCAAAATTGGAGTGTGTTGACCTTACCTGCAAACCAAATCGTAGAATTTGCCATTAACAATCTTCTATTAACGTTGATATTTCAATACTGTTTTTTTCTAGTTTTCTTTTCCAACTAATCATAATCGAAGCCCAACACGTGTTTTTTCCATTCATAATGCTTGAAAACTCGGGACCATAACTATTTGCCGCCGGGTTTGCCATGAAAGCTAAGTTACTTCTTCAAAGCTAAAAAGGACTGGAAAATAAATGTCATCCATAACAATTATGTTGATCGTAGCCGATACAGGTTTTCAAGTCCAAGAAAAAAGACGCTGCAAATTGAAATGAGAACCCTCCATATAATTGTGCAGCTAGTGATCTCTTGAAGTAAAAAAAATTGTAACGTTATTCCTATGGATAATTACATCATACAACTCATGAATTAAAGAAAATTGACATCCTCTACTGCTTAAGACTTTTTCCTTTCAGCTTTCTTATTCTTTTTGTAATGATAAATGACATTTATGAACTCTTGTTTACAACGATGAGAAACATAATCCTATAAAACTCAACTATCTCCTTCACCGATTTCTGAATTTCGTTTGATGTCTGAAGTATTAATTTCTTCACCAACTGTCTCATCATTCTCTGATACTTCTGAATTCACTTCAACATGGTTATATTCTGCATATGTGACTTCTTGAATGCTTTTTCTAAGCCAACTTCCCTTACTAACATTTGAAATGTTTTCTTCATTCATGACACGAGCCTGACCAAACACTATTTCAGTTTCATTAGCATCAGGTGGAACACCGTTTTCATCATGAAAGCTTTGGACCAGCTCATCTATTTCCTCTGTCATATCAGCATTTGTGGATCTCTCCACCACATTTTTCTGCATCATGATTTCCTTTTCTCTAATCATGGGATCTTCATCCTCATCATTCTCCTTTGCTGAGAAATATGGTTTAGCATTCTTTCTAATCTGTTGCACTTCTTTCGCTATGTCATTACTTTTAGAATCAATCATTATTGGTCTCGTTGGGTTTTTCTCATTGCCATGCCCTTTGAGACCTGACTTACTTTTCCATGATTCTATATCAACCTTTCCAGATTCTCTTTTGGACAAACCGTGGTGTTTATTCATGGATGATACCTTAGATTGACTTTCTTGTTCAAGTTCTACTTCTTTTCCTTCTCTTGTCCTGAATTTCTCATTGACGTGTCCAAATTCTTCTTCAGCCTTATCTTTATTGGCTCCATAGGGCTCATCATCCCTGCCACTACTTGAACCTTTGCGCCCCAACGATACAGTTCCATATGCTCCATCAAGCTTGGTTTGACCTCTATAGTTCTCTGTATTACTCCTTGAGTGTTTGATCTGATATAACAACCAGGCACAAACAGCCAAAACTAGCATCGCCTTCAATACCTGTTTTATGATAGCCCCTTTTGGTCTCTGGGCCCTTCCAAAAGATTGATAATCCATTCTTCTGCATATGATTCTTCATCTTGTCAGTGATCAAATAAACATCCAGACATTTCTGAAGAACTAATTAAATTTAAAAATAAAACTTGTCTAATTAATTAATCTACTATTCATGACACAAGATTAGAATCCAGGGTATTTTGTAAATTGATAGTTCATTAAATTGTGGTTTCAGCTAAACTCTTTAAAGTCAACCACCACTTATTAAGAACCAAAAGGGTCAGACGAAAGAGTGTGCACCCAATTCATTCGAACGTGGGGAAAGAAAAGCCTTCCATCCATGGCAGACTCTATTAGAATCGCAAACAAGGGAAATCATCAAGTCAACATGTACATAAAAGTGGCAATTTCTAGTACCCAAAACAACACTCAGCTCCATCGCAATCAAGAATTCCAAGAAAAAACAAAAGTATCAAATAATTTCTTCAGCCATAGAAAATTCAACAGAAAAATGGAATCTTTAACCAAGAAGTACCTTATTGTCTTGTTTTCTTAACGTAGTGTGTTGTTGTTGTTGTTTTTTCTGGGGTTAATGTTGTTGGGTCCTTCTTTTGTGCATTTAAAATGATAGTTGGACAAAGACCAAGAAGATCAAAATTGAAGAGTCGTTGAGAGTGCACAAAAGTAGCGGTTACATTTTGTCGTCATATTTTCCTAAAATAGAATCTCTGCAAACACGCAACCAGTGCAAGTCAATTCAATCAGGCAGGGCAAATTGGAGATTTCATGTCACTTTAGCATTCTAGTGCAAGCCTTTTTTATGCCTTTTTTTTATTCTCAAGAGTTGGGCCGGCCCATTTTTATTACTCCACGTACCTCCACCAGGGGCTTACTTTATGAAGATTAGATATTAGAATTAACTTTTTACACTAATATTCCTTTATTCTAATTTTCTTATTTCACAAAAAATATTTATTTTACTTTTTCTACCAAATTTTCATCGACATTAAGCCCTAACCTAGAGTAAGAAAGCACTTATTTATTCCCCCACATAAATAAGTTTTTTTTTTTAAATTGAATTATTAATATTAAAAAGTCATTTTTCAGTCAAGTAAAAAAAATTGAGTAATATTAAAGGTCAAGATTCTTTTTATAAACACAGGTCTTTATTTTATCATTTTTCACTCAAGTAGCAATATTTTATATATAACTTTAGTTGACTTTTTCATCCCATTATTATTAATCAAAATCCATTATATTCGCTGTTAAACATTTTAAATCCATGTTGCATTTTCTATCAACATTCTATATGTTCCTAAATTCTAATTAAGACACTGTTGAAGGGGCTTTTGTCCAATCTTCTTATTCCCTCGGCCTTTTCTTTATTCTTTTTGATAGCACAGTCAATGTTGTTAATTGAGGATTAGTGAAGAGCTTAGCAATAAGGAGCCTCTTAGTAGTGGAATTTTTAGGTCTATTGTTGAAATTGAAAATTAAAAGATTATACGAGTGAAAAATGCTATGCATTGACATATTCAGTTACTAAAATGACTTGATTATTTTGTGTACACATATAACAACACTATATGTCAAACATTACAAGATCTCATAAATATATTTCAACTAAACTGAAAAATAGTTAATAAGTACTGTCTTTATTTATTTTTATCTATAATTTTTTAAGAAAATATTTTTTTTCTATTCATATGTCATTTTAAAATTTTAAGATAGTAGTATTAATTATTATTTTTTCAACTTTACTTATATCAATAAACAAAGGAAAATATTATATGTGAAATGCAAAAATAAATAAATAAGAAAGTTAAAGAGCATACTAAAAATTATAAATAAAGAGATCAATTACTTTTCTTAATCTGAATATTATAATTTTAAGCGATAAATGAAAACTGGAAAAAAAACACATTACCGACATTCATTTTTAAATAAAAATGATTGTTTAAAAATATTTAAAATAATTTTAAAGCAAATTCAAATGCAACGAAGTGTTCTATTCAATTGGAATAATGACTAAAATTGAAAAAGTGGAGTATCCTTTAAAAAAAACAAGTGATTTATGAGTTATCCATTTGGTGCTGCCTAACATTCTGTCTTTTATTATTATTATTTTACAGAGTGAACTCCTGAAATCCGAATGTGTGTAAGAAATTCAAAGCTTTTCATCAGGAAGAAGAGATGAGGCTTGACTCGTCAATTTCTCATCACATTCTAAGAAATGTTATTTTAGTTGACAGAAAATTTATATTATCTTATTACTTAAAATACATTATTTCACTTTCTCTTTATGGACAAGTTGAATCAGCCATCACATTCTAAGAACTGTCATTTAGTTGAAAATAAATAAATACTATCTTATTGCTAAAATATATTATTTCAATTTCTCTTTTTTGGGTAAGTTGAATCAGCGTCCGCATTTTTTTAAAATATATTAAATTTTAAAACTTAAAACCTTATATCGAATTAAAGATATCGTTCTTTTTTCTATAAAATAATTTTAATTATTCTTGATTTTAAATTAATTTAAATTTTATTTGCATTAACCTTATTTAATATAGAAGAGTTTTCGTGTTGATAATAAAAATATTTATTTTTCTTATATAATTATAAATTTTATTGTTAATAAAAAATTATGAAATGTGTGAGAAATTTAATCATTTTTATATAAATACAGTTAATTAAAAAATTTCAATGAATTATAAATTAAAACAATTATTCAATCCGTATTTAAAGTGTGCATAAATTTTTTTAATGTTTTTAAATTGCTGTTTAGTTGTGACTGTAAATAATATTGTTACACAAGAATCGCTCTTAACTAAATGGGCCCGTTTAACTGTTTTCCTAATTTAAAATTGGATAAAATAGTACGCAATTTATAAAATTTAACTCTTTTATAAAATATTACCATAAAATTTTAAATCTCGTTATTCTCCCTAAACTCTAATTGCATTTTCCATGAAAATTTTAATGGTTAATTAACATGCCGTGGCATTTGGTTCCCATATCTATCAACAGGCGATCAGTCGAAGTTTTGAATTTAAACGAGGATATTTTGATTTTAAAAGAAATTGATTGAATTTAGTTAATTTTATATTTAATTTAAATACACAAGTAATGTAATAAAAATTTATAATTATACAATAATGTAGATTAATATATTATATTACTCATAAATAAATTAATAAAATAATTAATTATAATAATTTTTATACTAAATAAGACATTACTCAGTCATTTTTATAAAAATAAAAAATTAAATACCTCCTCAACTTCAGTTTTAAATGACGGATATCTACCACCCTTGATCTCATCTTTAGATGAAAAGTACTTACACATCTTCAGCCTAATCTCTAGACTAAAGATATTTACATTTCTTAGACCTTATCTCTAGACAACAAGAAGTATCAACATTTTTTAAGTCACCTCAAAATAAATTAACAAATTAATTAACTAATAAAAAAATAAAAAAATATATAAAAAAATTAGCTTTAAAATATTTAGTAGTATTTATTATTAATATCTTATTCGATAAGAATCTCAATGATTCTCGGTTACCTGAATGTTCACTTCATGGAAATCTCCAAAATGAACATGCCCCTGCACTCTCTCTATCTGTTACTGTTTCTGTGTATTCGGGTTTTAGATACAGTACATGACATGTTATTTTGTCTAATTTATTAAAATAAGTAATTTTTAACTTATTTTATTAATTTTTAATTACAATAATTTTACTCTTATCGTCATTAACTTCTTTATTATAATTTATAATTAAATATTGACTATGTTAATAAATTTTAACATAAAATAAATTAAAAATTTTAATATTATAAATAATAATTCCAATTTAAAATAAACATTCTGTAAGAAAAATATATTCACTTAAAACAAAAAAAATAATATAAGCATGTATAATTTCGAGTTTAAATTTAATCATGTTAAAAGGGTTCATAATTATTTGGCCTTTCATTCAAATATTTAAATTTTCATTTTGTACGAGTATTTTTTAGTCAATTTGTTAGACATGCTCATTCTACTAACTTTAATTTGTGTAGATTTAGACATCAGAATTGAGTTCCAGTAATTAACAATAATAAATTTTATTATAAATATTTATTACATTTAATATTTTTAAGTAATAAACGTTTTTAATAAAAATTTATTTTTTAGATACTTAAACTTAATCCTTAAAAATTAAAATTAACAAAATAATTTGAAATAATAATTTTATTGATATAAGTTTTATTTGATTAAAATAAATTATTTATATAAAAATTAAATTTTTTTAATAATATGATTTATTAATAGTATATTAATTTTATATTAATAAAAATATTAACTAAATTAATATATCATATTATGAATTTAAAATTATATTAATATTTTAATTTTTGTTGAATAAAAGTTTTACAAGTAATTATTTATTGTCATTCAAGTAATTTTATTGTCATTTCATAAAATTAATGACGAATAACATATTTTTAAAATATCAAAAGTTAAAATACATGATTCACACAATTTTGAAAACTAATTTGATGACTTACTCTATTATTATTATTATTATTATTATTATTATTATTATTATTATTATTATTATTATTATTAATTATTATTATTATTATAAAAAATAAGAGTTTACTATAAAATAAGAGAGTTACTCTTCTCTTATACTTAAAATTAATATGTGAATTATACTCTGTTTAACTGTAATGATTTTACCTTTACATATTTATTTCATTAATTTTATTTTAAATTTTAGAAATAAAAAATTTATTTAATTTTTCTATAATATTTTATAGAAAATTTTATATTTACAAGAAATTATTTGTTATCTTTTAATTTTTTTCTAAAATTTATGCATATTTTGATTTTTATATTTGTAATTTTTTAAGAATTAAAATATATTTATTTTAAAATAAAATATATACATTTTACACGTTACTAAACTAATTATTATATAACCCTATATAATAATAATAATAATAATAATAATAATAATAATAATAATAATTAATTTGAATATTATAATATTCTTTTTTGAATTTTAAAGATAAATAATAAATAATTTCAGGAGTATTTTTAGTCCAACTAATATAGGAAAGTCCTGAGTTATATCTGTGTTCTTCTCTCCCCACCCTAACTTGCCAGTATTTCTTAATGAATGTGAAAGTTATCATTTTTTGTACTTAAATTTCCAACGCTATAGACTCGGTGGCCCTTCGGCATTGGCGGATGGCGGCCATATCATACATATTCACGACACTTCTCATACGTACGGTTCATCTTTTATTTGGGCTTCCACGAGAAGACCAGAATGCCACGTTTCCAAAGTAGTTGATGCTATTCATAATTCATGATTACAACTTTCTTCTGATACATTATGCCTGATACATCCTGTGGAGAAGGATTGGAGTGACTGTGATTTTTCTGTGGTTATTTTGGCATATTAATATCATTATCGGTCCTGTGCAGTCGAAGCTTGATTGAAGGCTAGCTGGAATAATCATTCCCCTCTTATGATTGTATTGAAAGGGATTGCAGGGTCATTATGGATCTCTTGTTTTTTAAGAGGTGAAGTTGGTTTAAATCCGGGCATTATGTTGGAAGATCAAAATCATCTCTTTCACTCTCTTGGATCTATTACAAAGCAGATTAATCCAAGAACTCGTCCTTCAGTAATAATGGCCCTGTTTGTTTACGTTAGGAAACCAAAGTTGCACGATTGTTTTTGTATTGAATTTACGTTTAAAAGCTTTTCAACGTATCTCTAGACACTATAACACAGTTTTTTTTCAATCCTCAGGTAACTTCGACACGAAAGACACACAATAAACAACAGGCTCAATATTAATTTATTTGGTTGGGCAAAAATGTAATTGAAACTGTCAACGTGTTGACACAGAAAAATATAGAAATAAGTTACGAAAATGTAGGGTAAAGATTACGCCGTTTAATCACTGGCTTAGTCTGCACGGCAAATGCTAATCCTTGGTGGCAGGAACAGAGCACCGCTCAAATAATCTCTTCAATTATTGAACGAAGGTCAATTTGGTAAAAGTAAACATGGTTTCCCATCACAGAGACCTTCCTGTAAACTTAAACACAACTTCCTTGTAAGTTTGTCGGGTATTTAAAATTAGTTGTTCATAACTTACCCTCTTTTTTATTGTACTTTGATTAAGAGAAGATAGACTCTTTATTATTTGGATCCTGGTGATGATTGGTTATTTATTACTTAATTATATTTTATAATGCTTTTTATAAGATTAATTAGTGTTTAACACTAACATATATTGTATGCGAATCTTCGTAGGTACTGTAAGAAACGTAACTTTTTTTAAAAAAAATCATGAATATGAGTTTGTGTTTATTTCTCTACTTGGATAGAATTTGGTCAACACGTGCAGTTAAAAAAAACACTACGTTATTCGTATATATATAAATATATGAAACTAGTAATGTTATTTTTAATTATCTACCATTTTCTTAACACATCGTATGATGACAATGACAGAAATAAAAAGATAGGGTATAATAAAAAATTCTGTGAGTTTTACACAAAAAATATTCCAAAATAATAATGTTGCATACCACCCCTTTAAATAGGTCCCAACCCTTTCTCACATTGCAAACCAAAACACATTCTAATCTATTACTCTCTCTTTCTCTCTCTCTCTCTCTCTCTCTCTCTCTCTGCTTCTATAGTATTATTATATAAAACCAAAAAAAAAATAAAAAATACAACGATCATCAGAATCTGAGGAAATGGAAATTGAGGCAAGTCCACTGGTGGTAGGAAAGAAGCTATGGAACATAGTACGTATACTGTTCTTCATGTTAAGAAAGGGCATAGCGAAGAGCAAAATAGTGGTAGAGTTCCACTTGATGCTGAAACGTGGAAAACTGGCTGGTAAAGCCATGGTGAACAACCTCATGCTCAACCACTACTACGACTCTTTCACGTGTCGCTCACATGACACCTTAATCTCTCCCCGCGAGTACGAGTTCAGCTGCAGTAACAGCCCCGACATCCCCATCAAACGCAAGCACCGCCACTTTAATCGCTTCTCCAAGTCCTACAAATACGACGACGTTTCCACACTCACCGCAGTTCAGAAAGTGCTTGAGATGTTAAACAATGACAAGGTGGTGGTTGAGCCTAATAATTCCCCTTTGTTCACTTTGCCTGGCTTCGGAAAGAGCCCCATTGGAAGGCAACTTAGAGTCACTGATTCTCCTTTTCCCCTTAAAGATGAAGGAGATAGCCATGTCGACGCGGCAGCAGAGGAATTCATTAAGAAGTTCTATAAAGACCTCAATTTGCAGAAGAAAATGGCACCTCTTGAGTCACCTTACCATAACTTTTGGGACCGATGAAAACTAATCAATGGGAATTCATTTAAACTTTGCGTTTTCTTTTTCTATCCATATAAATCCCACAACCAGAACCACCCTCTACATATTTTTCGCTGCTACATATTCAAAGTTATACATGATCAGATTGATCATATTTCACGGTCACATAGTGGTACAACCACGTGATTTAATTTATTGCTTTGAAGTTTCCTGTAGCAGCTTTCTTTTGGTTATGGGTATCTTGTTTCAGTTCACTACACTGTATATAGGTGTTTTGGGACTGTTTTTTTTCTTTCAATTATGTATTTGTGGGTTTTGGAATGTTGGTAGTTAATAATGGAAAGGAAAGAAATGAAACGAAGACATAAAAAGAGACGTGTTTGTGCTTGTCTTCCTCTTGTGGTTTGGAATTTCTCCGCTCCCAATAAAGTGTTGCACCTACTTCGACTTTGTATAATAAAGTGGAAGATTAAAGCAAGAGCGTTGAGTTTTTTTTTTAGCCCCATGGGTGGTTAAGTGCAGAAATTTAATATACAGCTTTCTAAGGTTGGTGAGTTGGAAATTGACTTTATTAGCCCCTTTATGTCTTTCTTGTCTCTGAATTACTCTCTCTGCATTATGGTGGTTCCAGGAACTTACTCTTGGCCTGTTTACAACACCGTTTTTCTAAGTAAAGATTAATGTTATTTCAGCAAATAAAGAAAAACATTAATTTGAAAAAAAATAGAGACTATTTTTTTTTTGTTTTTAATAAATTTTAATCAATACTGAAAGTGTGTTACAAAGAGTATGTTAAAGAATGTGTTGATAGTATTATTTTTTATAAAATTGTGTAATAAAAATTATAAAATTTAATATAATTCAATACAGAAATATTATCAAATGTTATAATTTTAATAAAAAATATTATTAATTATTTTGTTATCATCTATACTTTCATACAATAAAAATTATATTATAATAATATTTCTGATATTACATATTTATTAAAAATAACTAGTAATTTTTAAAAATCTTAAAAATAAAGAGTCATTTTTAAGATTATAGATATTTGTAGAATATGTTATAAATTTATAATATATGACTATTTTTATTGGTCTTGATTATGTATTTATTTCTTATAAATAAGATTAGAAGTAGAATTATTCTTATTAAATCATCATATTAAAAATATTGTAGAATTATTTGATATATTATTTTAAAAAATACTATTCAATATTTTAATTTTATTTCTATTTAAAGTTGAACTTCACCTTCGTATTAATCTTGCCATTTTAAGTAATTAAATCTTTCATTATATTTAATTATTAATATTTTTCTTCAAAATTTTAAATTTGTCCTTTTTAATCTAAAAGTTTGAACATGTATGAAACAATGTATTAATTTTTCATATAAATCAAAATATGAAAATTATAAAGACTTAATGGTGAGTAAAATTTATATAAAAATATCGAATACTAAAATTTGATAAATTGTCATATAAATAAGGCCATGGTTTAGGATAATATTAAAATAAAAATATTTATTCTGTATAATTTTAAACTGTAGTGAATTTATGAAATTTACGTAAAAAAATGACTTACACTATTTTATTGCGATGCGTTTCATCCAAATACTGGAAAAGAATGATTAAATTTTAATGTCGGTTTTGGATCGTAATTACTGGGCGTATATGAAAAGAAAACTTAAAATTCCGGGGAATTGTACGGATAAGGACACTTCAAATTACTGGAGAGAAAGTTCTCCGTAATTTGGTCGATAGTATGAAACCAATTAATAAAATCGAATATCTTATTAGCTTTAAATCTGTTATTTCTTTAAGCGAAAGTTCAGAAAAATTAATAACATGATTAGAATTACGTTTTAACTAATTTAAAAATTACGTCAATTCAAAAGTTATAACTATTAAGTTAGAATAAATGTAAATTCGTATTTAATTAACTGTAAATCCATAAACAAACTAAATTCATTATTTTATCCTTTTTAATCTACTTTGGAACCAGCTTGTGACTTATCATGGGCTTTTGGCACCTGCTGCATAGGGTGCCACATATTGAACCCTTGAAAATTTGGAATCCATATCTTGATTTTTCTTTTCCTTATCAATATGAAATTATTGTGTAAGATGGTGGAAATAAATTATTTTGTTGCCTATTTAGCTTTAAAAAAACACTGGTATTAGTAAAAATATGTGGTCGAGAGGCACAAATAGTGACAATAAATACAAATGACAGGACATGTTAAACCAAAAAAAGGAAAAAAAAAGGGATTCAAAAGTGTAATTGTTTAATGGCACACATGTGGGACAGCCGATTTATTTGTGAAAACTTTAATTGGTGTGTGGATTAGTTTGTCTATTTCTTCCCAAAGCAGTGGCAATGCCAACAGTGGATCCATTTTGTCAAAGACAAAATAAAGGTCATGCTGCTTTAGATATCACTAAAGAGGCAAAAAAACATTGTTGCTTAGTAAGGTAATAACGGGACAAAGCCACTTTGATTTTCTGGTGTATATCCAAATTTGAGCATGATTGTTGTTATTATACGAATCCCTTATAGACACTTGGAAAGTTCTCTGCTTTATTTGAAAGGGGGAAAACACTTGGAACCATAGCAGTGTAGATTTGTTATATATTGTCTTTTGGAACTATGAGAATATATATGATTTATGTTAGATATATGTCCAATTGATTAACGGTTAAAATGTGAAGTGTTAAGGTTATCTCTTCCAATCCTAGAGTGACAAGTGTGATAGATGAACATGTAGAAGGATTAAAAGAGAACGGGTGAAGGTTCTAATTAGGCAGAACATACCAGTGAGATTATCATCAAATCAAAAGTTCGATCCATAGTTTTTGCCATAAAAAGGTTCTAATTGTCTCTTAATGGTTCTTCTTTTTCGTTTGTTACTGTAAAAGATTTTTGAACTATCTTTGCGATATCTTTTTGGGTGACTAATATGCTTGCTTATTATAAATAGGTTTATTTAACCAGTTATAGTTTTCTTATACTTGCATAGTTTTTTTTTTTCTTTTATCACTCTGATTATTACTTTTTAAAAAAATATTTACTAATATGCTTTATTTGAATAAAAGAAAGAAAAAAAAAAGAAATGTTATAAAAAATTTGTATTATTTAAATAAATAAAAAGGAAAAATGTCTTTTTTTATTATTTTAATATAAGAAATTACTTCTCAAAGCCAAACTCAAAACAATCTCTTTTAACCTTCCATGGTAGCACCTTACTCAAATTTTAAAGAAAGGTCTTTGATGAAATCATTCACATATTCAAGTTGAGTGACATAGATATCTATAGAAAAATCGGTATCACCTCCTCCTCAAACTTTTCTAAAGCTCAACTTGACGCGGATTCAGTTTCATGATTGGACCGTCTAGTCAGTGTATTTTGCACTCTCGTTTAAGCGAAATTTTTTTTTACTTAAATAAGAGTGCAAAATTTTGTTTGACTGAATCGTACAGTTTTTGTCTAAATGAAATTTGATCAGAGATTCATACTCAATCATGACTTGTTGACAATATTTTTGTCCATTAAGACTAAGTATGGAAAGTTTCAATTGAAGTATACTAATCCATATAAAATCCTACCCATTCAAAAGTTTAAAACAACTTTTTTGCTTAAAGATGTTATCAACATCCATATGCATGAAAAAATGTGAAAAAATCAAGTCGTTGCTCTATGTTTTTGTCTGCAACATCATTCAAGACTCGAGTGTGTGTGTGTGTTTGTAATATAATTGGCAGGTGTTGAAGAATTTATGTTGATGGCGAATAAAAAGTCACATTCAGTTTTTTTTTTTTTAACTCCCATTCAATTCAGTTTTCTATAATAGTTTAATTATATATATTTTGAGAGAAAATATTTATTGATTATCAGTGCTCTTCCTCAAAATTAATATAGGGTTGGTCCAACATGCTTAAAGAGAATTTTAAATAATTTTTTAGATTAATCAAAATAATCTATTAATATTATTTTATTTGAAATCTATTTTGTAGACTTTTTTGAGATAAAAAACCACTTATTAAATTATGATACACTATTGATCTTATATAATATTTATTAATTTTTTATTTATTTGTACGGCCAGCTAAACATAAACGGAGATTTAAAATGAATTATAAGATATTTTTTACATAATAATTAATATGTAAAATATATTTTTAAGAGATGATGGAATTTTAAAAAAATTATAAAAGAAAAACTTAACAAAATGTAAGATTATTATTTTGATAATATCCTTAATAAGTTCAGCCTTTTTTATCTAACTTTTTTTTAGAATCTTAAATAAAGACTTAGAGCATGTTTAATTTGTTTTTAAAAATAGTTTTCTAAATTTATACAATATTTTTAAAAAGAATAAAAAACCATTTTTAAAAGAAAAATTAAACATACAATATTATACTTGCTGTCAAAATTCCTCGAAAGATAACATTAACTTTTCTATACTTTTGTTCAGAGACATTGGGAGAGTGTGAAATTTTTTATAAAAAATGAGGGAAAAAATGTTTGAACTTTGATGCTGCATGGATTTACATGATACACTTAGATTTGTGAGGTTAAACACCTTATACTTAGAACATCGATCTAATGGTAAAAATTTAGGCACTTATCTCAAAGTTTGGACATAATTTAATTATTTAGATGTGAAATAATATCAATATTTTGTGTTAGCATGTTTTTTTAAGTCTAAATCAACCATATGTATCAATGATTAATGATTGGTAAAAAATAAAGTTAATAAAATGTTACTTAAGATCAATTTCTCGAAAAACAATTAAACAAATCAATTTTATTATTGTTTGAATATAAAATATTGATTAATTAATTACAATGATTTAATTATGTAATTTTATATTTTGAAAAACTTGAAATATGAAAATTAAGCAAATTTTTTAATTTTTATTACTTTAAGTTTAAGATCTCGTATTAAAATTCACTTTAAATTTAAACAAGTATTTGTGACTTATATACTTAATTTCCTTCACATGCAACGTATCATTATGTGATGCACGTTTTAAGAACTTTCTATTATATACACTAATTTTAATGTTTTTTATTGAATCAAATGAAATTTTTTTTTAATTATTTTAATGAATACCAAAAATTTCTTGAATCAATATTGAGTATATTGAGATTTTATAATTTATCATTAAGATGGATTTTATTAAAAAATTAATTTTTAATTATATAAATTAAAAAAATAAACATATGAAATTTTATATTTTAATATTTTTTAATAATTTTTTTCATAAACATTATAAATTTATATTTTCATATTTTATGTGTATTAACAAATACCCATAAAATGTATATATGACATATTTCAGAATTATTAAAAAATATTATAATTATAAATGTTTATTTTTATATTTTTTTAACCCGTTCCTTATATATTTTCGATGCATCATTAACTAGAATTTAAAAGTGGATTGTAAACAGTGATAGAAGAAATAAATCCCAAATAAATTTTTATAGATGTAATTTATAATTGTTATTAGTAATATTAGAATTTTTAATTAGTCCAATTTTATTTATAGATTCTAAATGATAAATTTATGGTATTTTTTTATAATTGAGAGAATTTAATATTCTCTTATATATAGAATAATTTTTATCGTTAATTTTATATTAATAGATAACGAGTTACTAGTTTAATAAGAAAAAAATGTTAAATTTTTGTTTAATTTTAAAATATAAAATAAATCATAAAAATTGATTAAAAATATAAAATATCTTTTCAAATTTATAATTAATATAAAGGATAAAGGATTATTATTTTTTAAATAAATTAATCCAACAATTAATGCACTCTTTTTTTCCTTAGCTCAACAATGCACTTAATTTTCAATAGAATGATTTTAGGATTCTGTTGCTAATAAGTCCAAGATTTATATCCGCTTATTGCAATAAATATTGTATCACTGTCTATGATTATTTGGACCACTGGTGATAATCTAATAATAAAATATGAAAAAAATGAATATCCATTGCACAAAATATTTATTTATTTATAGTACATCTTGCATTCATAAATGAAAATGATTGCATACTGAATGTAATTGTTATGCATTATGGTAACTATTTATTCGAAAAATAAAAAATCAAAACTGAAATTTTTTTTTGGGTCATGAAAATCAAATCTGATTAAACTTGTTAGTATTTGTGGTTTATAGAAGTGGTGTGATAATGTGATGTGGGTGTTTGAAACTTCACGATTAACGTGCAAGTGTCTTAATCTTCACCACATAAAAAGATATTGGTGTTTCTGGCAAAAGTGCAATTCAACTCGGATGCTTCTGGGAAGGTTTTTGGGACATACCAAAAAGGCCGAAGCTATTGTTGGAACTTGCACCACCCAAAAAGTCTTGTAATAGTTTGTGGCGACCTATTAAGTTATTATTTATTATTGTTTGATTTTTGTTTTAAAAGTTTTTTTTTTAAAATAAATTTTAATATAAATTTATATTTTCAAAAACAAAAAATCATTTTTCAAATAGAAATTAAATATACTCTAATATTTTAATTCTGGACAGAGCTAATTTGAATTTTAATATATTTATTTACCTTTTTATATTTTAGCTTTTATTTTATTTTTTAAATACATCCTTGCTTAATTTTTTAAAATAAATAAAAATTCAAAATCATTTCAATTTACTTTTTACATATCTTATGCAATATTAAGAATGGTAAAAAATAATATTTATATTTTCATTTATACTAATACAAAGGCCTATTTTATTGATGACAAAATTTTAAGGTGAAAAAAATTGTAAATTGATAAAAAAAAAAAATTAGTTAACTTAATCTCTGAAAATTGATATATAACTTAATTTAACTATTAAAATTACTAAACCGGTTAGTTACCAAAATTCACTTTCTACCTAATCTGATTAGAAGTTTATAAAATTTTATATATTTTTTTAAAATAGTTGATATGATATTAATAAAAAATTTTAATAGTTAAATTTATTAAATTCATTTTTTATAAATGATTGTTGAAAAGAATAATTGTTTAAGATTTATTCTTAATTAATTTTTTTCTTTAATGTGCACAGGCATACACAAATTTAAATTCTACCTGTTTTTATATCATTAATAATTTTGTATTAAATAATTATATATTATCTGTACCAATCTCGTATGAATTATACGACAGTATAAAAAATAATAATATGCTTTTAATTTTAACATTTAAGAATATATACATAAATAAAATAAAATGCTTTTAATGTTATTTGTACCAATTTAAAACTTTATAAATACTATCTATATGATAAAATTTCTAATCTAAAGATAGATTTTAAGATAAAATTATTTAGTAAAAATTATTAAATATTATAAAAATAGATATAATTTATAAGTTTATAAATTATCCTTTCTCATATGTGTTATAAGTAAGATTTAAATATATTTTTTGAGTGAGTTAAAATTCTAAATTTTAATTAATTTTTTCAAGTTATTATTTTACTAATCTCTGTGTGTGTATATATATATATATATATATATATATATATATATATATATATATATTGGAGTAAAAAATAAAGACAGGAATATTCTAAATATGCACCTCTAACTTTAGTTAGTACTTTTAATAAGATATTCCCAACCTTGTTTCGTCCACGACAAACACCTCAACACACGTGTCATCACACTGCCCATTTCCTTAGGCTTTGGACACTTGCATTTATTTGACAATCCTATTAATTGTATAGTTTAAACAATTCATATAAAAATACATATCATTTTATAAACTCTGAATTACGTTTTAATGATTTGATTTAATAATAATGTTAACGCAATATACAAATAAAACACACAGCTTCAAGTTCTAAAACTAAAACAAATCAAAAAATTATAGAACAATAAAACATATTATTTTTATTATTATAACATTATCCAATTTCCCCATTTCTCGAACAAGAAAGAAAGAATACGTGACAAGAGACACATTGTTCCCCAACCCATTCGAGAGGAAAGAGCGCCACCTGTTCCCCACTGTCATCTATCGCCAGACACAGACAAAACCTTTGTCTTTTCATTCTCTCTACTTCTTCATTATTTTTATCTCATTATCACAATGATTTCATTGAACTTAGCCAGTTTAACGGCATTTAATTTAACTCTTACCCACATGATGATTCTTTTTTTACGTTGAAAAATTTCAACTTGGTCACAGTTATTTAAACATTTACGGACATGTAAAAGCAAAGAAAGACTTGACAAACTGACACGATACACACGCACCCCGCTTGCACACCTTAATCTCTTCCTTTGACTTGTCCTTCATATAGTTGTTGTGTTTGCCTTGTTACTTCTGTGAAAGTAGGGACATAGGTACTTGATCAACTTCATATTTCTGGATGGTGTGGCAGTTCCCAGAGGAAAATATCAGAAAAAGTTGTGTTGTGTGTGAGCTCCAAGCATCATCATCATCATCATATTCATAGCAGTGGTGAAGAAGAGGAAGAGAAGAAAGTAATCGAGAGGAAGATGGAGAGCACACTGAAGGCTCTGAGAGATGGTGAGTCAGTGTTGGACCTCAGCCCAAGATCCAGCGTCAGCGGCGGTGTTGAGGATATCTACGGTGAGGATCGCGCCACCGAGGACCAACTTGTCACCCCTTGGACTTTCTCGGTTGCCAGGTCATATTCGTACTCACATCATCACATGCATGGGTTCATGGGATTAATTACATGTGCTGGACTATATATATGATCATGCTTATATTTGAAATTTGATCATTAACATTATAGTATTTCAAACAAAATATTTGAGTGCACTCCTTAAAAAAAATATTTATGGAATGAAATTCTTGGAGTTTTGCTTAGCTGATAGCTCTGCAATTTTGCTTATACTAGATTAATTTTGACATTAGGCTTGTGTTTTTAGCAAATGGTTCTCTCTGAATCTGTGGTGTATGTGAATTTTTGGTACATGCAGTGGGTATTCTCTGCTAAGGGATCCACAGTACAACAAAGGGTTGGCTTTCACTGAGATAGAGAGGGATGCACACTATTTGCGTGGCCTTCTGCCTCCCACTGTCAGCACTCAGCAACTTCAGGTTTGTGTTTTACGATAATCTATGATTTTTATCTATAATCTATGAGGGTATTACTGTTATTTTCCTCTTCGCCCTTCTCTCTGGTTCTCATTATTCCTTTCTACTGTCTATAGGAAAAGAAACTGATGAACAGCATCCGACAGTATCAAGTTCCCTTGCAAAAATACATGGCCATGATGGACCTTCAGGCAGGAATTTAAACTTATCATAGTTACATTGAACAGCAGGAGATTTGTTCTTGTTCAGTTTCTCTTGTTCATGGTGTTAATACTCATATCAACAATTAAGTGTCTTGTTTGAAAATGCATTGAGAAAAACTGTAAATGCGGATTCGATGCATAAGTTACAACTTCTGGCGTTGAATTAAATGTGAATCCATGACCATTTAAACGTGAAACTAAATATGCACTAAGTTGCCTATAATCCGTGGTATACAATCACGGGAAATACATGACACCAATTTCCTTTTTTCATGATCTCTTTTCTACACCTAGTAGTGCTTTGAACTATTTCCTCTTGAATGTTGTAAGAAGGAGATTAAAAAAATTATATTAATCTACTTGTGAAAACTGATGTAGGCCTCTTATATAAAACGAGGATATGAATTGAAAAGTAACCAACACAGCATGTTGTTCTGGTTTTGGTATACAGGAGAGGAATGAAAGGCTGTTTTACAAACTTCTGATTGATAATGTTGAGGAATTGCTCCCAGTTGTATATACTCCTACTGTTGGTGAGGCTTGCCAGAAATATGGAAGCATATTCAGGCGTCCTCAGGGTCTTTACATTAGTTTGAAAGAGAAGTATAATTCTTTATTTTCATTAGCATGCAATTTTAGAACAAGTTTGATGCAGGGATATAAAGCTGTTGACCATTTGCAGGGGGAAAATCCTTGAGGTTTTGAAAAACTGGCCTGAGAGGAGTATTCAAGTTATTGTTGTAACTGATGGTGAGAGGATTTTGGGACTTGGGGATCTTGGATGTCAGGTATTTCTGCAGGGGAATCAAACTCCTTAATTTAAAATGAAAATAGAGACATGGTGAAAGTTGAGGAGCTAGGTTTCACATTTAAATTGATTATGTTGGTTGTGCTTCAGGGGATGGGAATTCCTGTTGGTAAATTGGCTTTATACACAGCACTAGGAGGAGTTCGTCCTTCAGCAGTAAGAATTGTCCTTCTGTTGTTTCTTCACATTTTATTCTTTCATGTGTCATATGATTCCTTTCTTTTTTCTTACATTTGATTTTTGTGGTTAGTGTTTGCCTATTACGATTGATGTGGGGACTAATAATGAGCAATTACTAAATGATGAATTTTACATTGGGCTTAGACAAAAGAGGGCAACTGGGCAGGTTTGAATATGTCTTGCTCAAAGTTGTTTTATTATTTTATCATATTATTGCATTGTTTATCTTGTCTTGATTATCTGAGGCAACTTCAATGGTATCTTAGGAATATTATGAACTTCTGCATAAGTTCATGACTGCTGTGAAGCAAAACTACGGGGAAAAAGTTCTTGTACAGGTTGATACAAATTCCCTTCGTGATGGTTTATGTGGCTTCTGATCCTATGTCCTTCAATTGGAGTGTCTTATTCTTTTAGATTATTTTTTCAGTTTGAAGATTTTGCAAATCACAATGCTTTTGAGTTGCTTGCAAAATATGGTACAACTCATCTTGTTTTCAATGATGATATACAGGTATCATATTTCACAAAATCTGGCATGTGTTTCTTGAAGAAGATTAGTATTTTCTAATTATTAATATGTTACCTCAGGGGACTGCATCCGTTGTTCTAGCTGGTGTTGTAGCAGCCCTGAAGCTCATAGGAGTTACCTTGGCTGATCACACATTCCTCTTCCTTGGTGCAGGAGAAGTAAGACCATTATCTATTTTGCACCCTTTTACATGCTATTGAAGTGAAGGGAAATGACCAAAGTAACAAAGCAGTATACAGCATAAGATAATTTAAATGATTCATTTTTCATTATCTATATTTCATCTTTACTTCAGGGTGGTAATTCATGCAAGCACATCGCCTATTGTTCTGTCATCTAACTCACTCTTTGTCATGCTTTCAGGCAGGTACTGGTATAGCAGAGCTAATAGCTCTTGAGATGTCAAAGCAGGTGAATCATTATTGTCTATATATCAGTAATATTGATTTCTTGAGGTCCTTTTAAATTACAATTGGTGATATTCTGTTTATGTTTCTATTGTTTTTGTGGCAGACTAAGACACCTATAGAAGAGAGTCGCAAGAAGATATGGCTTGTAGACTCAAAGGTAGTAGAAAGCATGATAAGTTTCTGTCACAAACTATTCTCTTCTCAAATTCATTCTTTTTAACTTTTAATCTTAATTTGATTCAGTTTTCTAAAGTATTATTTCTTTTTTCTCTTGCAGGGTTTAATTGTTAGTTCACGGAAAAATTCACTTCAACCCTTCAAGAAGCCTTGGGCTCATGAACATGAGCCCGTTAACAGTCTCCTAGATGCTGTTAAGGTGTTTTAATGTCTGTTTATGGCTTGTAATGGTTGCCTTTGATATGTCCTTATCCTTAATTACCTCATTCTTTCAGATAATCAAGCCAACAATTTTGATTGGATCATCAGGAGTAGGAAGAACATTTACAAAGGAAGTAGTTGAGGCTATGACCAGAAACAATGATGTAAATTCTTATCTCACTCTTGTTGTGGATGAGCATTTGTGTGGGTATATATATCATCTTAAATAAGAACCGTATCTCTATCATGCTTGGCCTGCAGAAACCTCTCATTATGGCTCTTTCCAATCCAACCTCGCAGTCTGAGTGTACAGCTGAAGAGGCTTACCAGTGGAGTGAGGTAAAATAACAGATTATCGTTTCTTTCTCTAGACCCGGTTGAGTGTTATTCGATGCAAATTAAGCTTGTCACTCCAACATTTTTGCGATAATATTAATAATCTCCACAATTTGTTTGCTTGTTTCTCAAAAGGGTCGTGCAATTTTTGCTAGTGGGAGTCCATTTGATCCTGTTGAATACAAGGGCAAAGTTTACGCATCTGGCCAGGTTTCAAAATCTTCTTCAGATTCATTAATGTCTCTCTAACAATTAGTTAAATAAGAACATCATCATAATTTGTTTCCTTCCTTGTTAATTCAGGCCAACAATGCTTACATTTTCCCAGGCTTTGGTTTGGGTTTAGTAATCTCAGGAGCAATTCGAGTGCATGATGATATGCTTCTAGCAGCCTGTAAGTGAATATGACAAATTTACCATTATAGATCCAATGAACATGATGTTGAGTTCTTTTGAAGGAGGTGGTAGACAAGCGAATACTTAGACTAATAAAAACTCACTTTATTTTAATATTCCCTTGTGAATTCTCTTGGCTTAAGAGCACATATCTAACTTACTCATTGACTAATATACATGTAGAAATGAATTACACTCAGAACCTACTAATATATGAATATGTCAGTACATGAATCATGATTAAGTGAATATATTAAAGTTTCTATTTCCTAACTTTCTACTTTATTTCAATTAAGCTTTTCCCATCGTTGGCTATAAGTGGACCACTGCATATATTATCTTACAGCAATTGTGCAATGCTTACACATAAACAATGCCTTTAGATCACGTAAAATTGACAAAGGAATGAACCACATTCTTCTCATGAATTGTACAGCGGAAGCATTGGCTAAACAAGTGACACAGGAGAACTACAAACAGGGTTTGATTTACCCTCCATTTCCTAATATCAGAAAAATTTCAGCTAACATAGCTGCAAATGTTGCTGCCAAAGCATATGAATTAGGTGTGTGCTCTCATTGTCTTCACACAATAACGGTTGCTTCCTCATTCATACTAGTTATAGTTCAAGATCACAATCTCAAGAATTCATTTCATTTTAATTTAAACTAAACAAGTGTTTCAACTATCTTTGTAGGCTTGGCTACACATCTACCTCGTCCTCAGAATCTTGTGAAGTATGCGGAGAGTTGCATGTATACCCCTGTATACCGCAACTATAGGTGAATGGGTCCAACTAACCATTGACTTGAGGGCTTTAGGCTTTACTAAGGATGTGTTTGGAGTTTGGTGTCCTGTCCATTTATGCATGTCAAAGAATAAACGATTTTAAGCTTTTCTTAAATCAATGCTTTATCTAGTTTCTATTATGAAATCCTTATTTCATTTCATGTCATGTCATGTCATGCCAATGGCAATGGTTACTAAAAACATAATAGCTCCAGTTATTTGCCTGTTGTACCATGTTCTGTTGCCTTTATATAATAATAATAATGATACTAATAATATCAGCGGCTATGAAAATATTCTCTTCCTCTCTATTTTTTTATGATTTAAATTTTAAATATATCCTAAAATTATTGAATTATGCAGATAATGTTTTGATTTCTTTTTCTAATTTTGGAAATTAGAGAGGTTGTATTTATATAATATTTTTTGAACAATTTCTTTTGTAACAAAAAGAGTTAGGAAGAGAGAAAAAAAAGAAAGAAAAGTGGAATATAAAATGAATGATTTAACGGTGAGAAATAGAATTTTTTTTTTATAAAAAGTATTAAAAATGTGTATTAAAATATAGTTTAATTTAGATATATTAGTATAAAAATTGTTATATGGGTAATTAATTAGAAATTATCCTAGATATGAATTTTAAAGTAATTATTATCAAATATTTTTGAATTCTATAACAGTCTATAATTAGATAATAATGTAAAAAAAAGAAAAAACGATACCGTTAATGTATTCAAATTAAATTCATCAAAATAAATATAACTTTGTAAACTAAAATAAGAAAGCAATTAACAGGTTCATAAAGATGTTAGCATTCCATGGTATTATGAAGAAATAAGAGGATATTATCAGTTGATTTAAACAATCGATACTTGAACCCACAATTTTTAAATCACTTATTAAATATTTTTTATTTAAATATAGGTTTACCCAAGAGGATGGGTTAGTTGGGAAGTAAACTTGAGTTTAATAATGAAGCCTATATAATTACTTGTAAGAACAGGTAATTTCTATCCCACACTCAAATAATGAAAAGAAATTTCCTAAAACTTAAAAAATTAAACCAATAAGTTTAATCATTATTAGGTTCCAATTTAACAATTCATGGTATCTTTTTTTGGTCGTAACATATTCCTTTTGATGCAATGGTTTATTTAAAGAACAAATTGCTAGCAAAAGGTGGAACTTGAGTTGGAGAAGGAATCATATTCTGACATGATTAGAAAGTAATCACATGGGCCAAAATTTAATATGTAATCAATATTATAAAACATATAATAAGATCAAACATTTATCTTTATTTTTGAAATTGCGCCTATTGTTTTTTCATAGAATAAAAATAATCAATTATTGCATTTGAACGGAAAAATAGATTAAGTGAAACAATCACAAAAACATGTAACCTTTGTCATGTCAAAGGCCTTTAACAAACAATATTACACAAATTTTTGTCTAAATCTGACAACATTATCGTGCCCAAAAACAAAGATAACATCATATACTCTACAAAACATCGTGATATAAGTTATTATGAAAGCCTTTATTTGTTTTCCTTCAACTTTCACAATTCGCATCCCTCGAAACTTCAAAACAGAACTTTCCTGATTTTGTTTCACAATTGTCCCCGACAACATTCTCTTCCACATCAAATGCTTCACCCAAGAAAAATATAGCAATTACAATTGCCGCCGCCACGTTATCATTCATGCCACATTACACACGTGTCATTTTGCCTCCTCCATTCACACACATCTCTGCGATGACTAAGAAGTGGAAGATTGGACCAAAATTCAAAACTGAGAAATAAAGAAAGTTGCAAACAGAGGGGAAAGAAAGGTGTTGCTTGTTTGAGCAAATTAACTGTTTGGTTGGGGTTAGGATTGGAGAGATCAATACAATTGAGGATTGCTTGACGCTGACGGGCTTCTACTTCTGCTCTCTGTTTTCCCATTCTGGAATGGAACAAAACCAACGAGGAGGACCTCAACTCCTCTGTTCAGGTTCTGTTCTCAACCACCTATAAAGTTTTTTTTCAAATCCTTCAATTTCTCAATCTAATAAAAAAAACCTACCTGCATATATTTATTTTTGACTGAAATATACTTTTGTAAAATTTTAATTTTAGTTCCTCTAAAAAAATTTGATATTAATTCTTAGTTTTTAAAAATTTATCATTTTTAGCCTCTATTGATAATTTTATTAAGACATTATCGCATGTTATTTTTTTTTTAAAGTCACATCACTCTTAGGAATCAAAAGTAAATAATTTAAAAAGTTAAAGACTAATTTTTTTTAAAAATTAAATAAAAATAAAAATTATATTTAACTCTGTTATTTGATTGGTTTAATTACATTTTTTTTTGTCTTATGTGTAGTTTTAGCCTTTTAATTTTAATCATTTATATTGATTTCTTGTTATTTTAAAATGTGCAAAAGCTATTGTTTTATAAGCCAAAAAATATGTTTTTTTATTTTGCATTATAAAGAGTTAATATTAAGTATACAATATAATTAAAAAATTAATTTATTTTTTATACGATCTCAGACCAAAGGAGGAGAATTATTCTAAAGCAGAGGAGCATTAATCTAGACAACAGTTCCATAAAGTTATACTGTGTGCACGACACGCAATATTGAAAGTTTCCCAGTATGAAATCGCTGTTCAAAGTTCAAACTATAGACCAAAGTTTGAAGTAAAATGGAGAATATATTATATTATATTTTACAGGAAAAGGCAAAAGCTGAATTGGGATTTATATATGAAGAGAGATATGGCGGCGACACAGCGGGCAAGAGTTGCAGTGCTCTAACCAGAGGGTGATGCAGTTTGAGTGGTACACGTGACCGCACGGAACTCTTTTCTTTTCCCCATCTGAGTTATCGTCACCGAACCCTTCCATGCAAACGGAGCATACATCATCCTCCGTCACGTCGTTAACCGTCGGCAAGTTGGAGACGAAGGTCTTCCACGCTGCAAATACATGCCGTGATTCTCCGTCCACCGCAAGAGCCTCGTCCAGATCAAAAATTTCCAAATCTATGAAATTGTTTGACTCCGACAACGAAGACTGCGGCATCATCACAATATTGTTGTTGCTCTGTGAAACTATAAGGTTAACGTTGTCGCTATCCATTGCACAATCACCATAGAGCTATCTTATTTTTTAGCTTATATAGAGAATGATAAATTAATGTATCAGCGTGTAACAAGTTGTCCCATGGTTATTGACTAGACCGGGAATTAGAATAGCAATTATTATGTTTTTATATCAACTTTCTTATAGATGTATATTCTCTTTATTAATCAATATTTTTTAAATATTTTAGAAAATTTAACCAACGATCATTGTTTTACGTATTTATATATTCTTAATTAACAAAACACCATAAAAATTATTTTCTTTTAATTATGTGAAATTGTACTCGTAAAAAATTAGCAATATATTATTTTCAAACTACCAGCAGGCATGGTTAGCTCTATTGTTGTTAATTCGAGTATTTCGACCAAGTTCAGATTGATATATTTAGCTATAAAAAAAATTAGAGTTTATTAACATGATATCTCACTAATACGAGTTTATTCGCTCATTTGGGTCATAAAAATTGTGGATCTAATCAGTAATCATAAAAATTGTGCCCAAGGCAAGTAAAACGTTTAGCCTGCATGAGATTGAATTAGACTAAAAATTCTGAATTAAATTCATATTCAATATTTACTCTAAACCTTAGATTTTATGAGATAAATTTAGATCAACTTGATTGGGTAGACTCACTTTATTAATTATATATAAATGTAATGTTAATGTAAATGCATAATTATGATGTTTAATTACTACAACAATAATAATATTAATACACTGAGAGTGGCGGTTGAATCCATATCAAGAGGTCTATTTTCATACATTTTTTTAAGTCAGGTTAAAAAAGATTAATTTTATTTTGACTTTAAATTCAATAGCCTAAACCATTATGTTGTTCTGATGGGATAGATTGACTTATTTAACCAATTCTAGTTAGATTTGTCGTTTTTTAATATCTTTTTTTTACCAATAAATGGGGCTATTTAAGTGATTTTTATATTTAAAATCATACAAAAAAATATAAAAATATAAAATATAAAATATAATAATTATGATATTATATTCAATATTATTTTTTAAGAATTAAATAATAGAACCGATCCCTTTTAAATCTTAATTATTAGCTTTTCAACTTTAGTTTTTTTAATGAAAATTAATAAATAAAATTATATATATATCAGTTTTATTATATGATTTAAAATATAAATAATACCTATAAATTCTAAATATTCAAACTCATATCACTGATTAAATTTAAATAACTTTACGATAATTGATTCATGTACTCGGCAGTGTATTATACTTAATTTAATACAATAAAGAGTTAGTGTATTTTCAATAAATCTTGAATAATTAGACATTAATATAATAGCATAAAAATTTTAGAATTATGATGCTGTTAAAACCCGAATCGGAGTGATGAAACAGTATTACGGACATATGATTACTTTTTATTTACTCGCATGGAGCTTGTCATGGCGTTCGGTTGCCAGCGTAAGTAGTTCAAGTAAACTTACTTTCATTAATTGATATAAATCAAATTAATTCTAATCTGATCTACACGTAATCTATATATTTTCGTGCTAATAATATTTGTTAATTTTTTTACAAAAATTATTATAATTTATGTTAAAAATTACAATAAGTCATTAATTAATAATTTCATTAATATTTTGTGTGTATAAAATATGCCGGTGGTAATAAAGTTTAAATTTTATTTTTATGAAATTAATTGTTTTTCCTTATAATTTTATTAATTTTTTATTTAATTCCTTATAAAATATAAACTTTACTGCAATATTTATATTTATAAAATTTTATATTAAATCCTCAAAGATTACTCGAATCATAGCTGAATTCACTGTTACAATTCCTCCCTCTATGCTCCTCGCACATCTTATTTTTACTATTTGTATTCCTTTAGGTCCTTTATTGTTTTACATAAATTAAATTTCAAAATGATTTGTAAGTCACTTTTAAAATTTAATTTTGAAATGAAAAAAAAAAAAAACATAAAACATTGAATTTCATTTAAAGAAAACTACAAATTATTTTTAAAAGTAAATTAAACATACTTATAGTTTCCACTTACCAAATCATAGGATAAGACTTTAGAGCTCTATGCCCTTTTTTTTTTGTCAGGCCCAGTATGCGCAATTAAACAGGTAGACTAGTAAATCTTATGATGGACTTTGGATTTGCCTTTTTTTTTTTTTTTTTTTTTTCTTTTGTTGTTTTCTTTACCTAATTTTAATGTGAATGTGTTGTACAGTTTTGTAATGATTTGATATATAGCATTGAAGTATCCATTTATTATGGCTTGGTTCTTGTAGGTGTGCCATGAATGTACTGTGAGTTTTAATTATATGTTAGTTCCTGGAAGAAAAAAAAAAAAAACCAATAAGGACGAACAATTGTGTTCTGATTTCTTAAAAAATAAGGGAAATATTTTTTATACCACTTGAGAGGATGGATACATTCAAGTGCTTTTTTTATATTTAAAATGTATTTTTAGGATATATGAATATAAATTGATATAAATAAATACAAGATAAAAATAATTATTTGTAATATTATGTTTCAGTTATTTAAATAACAAAATTAAAAAATAAATATAAGGCTGACCAAAAATAAAATAAATAAATACAAGGGAAGAGAAAAAAAAATAACTTGTTGATAGTGAAGTTTATACTTTCTGATTTTTTGTAAAGTAATGCTATTTTTTTATAATATTTATAATAATGATTTAAAATTTAAGAAATTATTAATTGTTCGTAATTTTATAGAATAATATATAATTTTCATTTTCATGAAAAAAATAGTAAAAAAAAAAGATAATAATATTTTTCTTTTCATCCAGATTAATCTGAATCTAACTCGAGTTGCGTATTTAAAAGTAATAAAATGAATTTATTATTAAAAATTTTTTATATACTCAAAATATTATTTAAAAAATATCGAACCACTTACTATTATAAATTTTATTTAAAAAAATTATTTTTAACACGCATTTTTTTCACATTATTTATCATAATTTTTTTTTTATTTGTTCTTTCTTTCTACTCATCTCAATCCATGCGGAGGAATTATTATTCTAAAAAACCATAGGAGTGTTGATCTAAACAGTAGTTTCATAAAATTAAACTGTGCAGGACACGCAATATTGAAAATTAATTTCAAACCGCAAATTTCCCAATATGAAAATTTTGTTTAAAGATCAAACTAGACCAAAGTTTAAAATAGAGTCGATAATATATTGTATAAATAATAGTTCCATGTTTATATTATTTTTTTTATATTTTTTCTTTCTTATCATGATTTTTATCTTTTATATTTATTTCTTCCCTTTTCGTTTTTTATGGAATATTTCACTTATTTAGTAGTGTCAAATGATAAATGATCACTTTCGTTAGAATATTTATGCAATTGTTAATTTATTGATTATTATAATATATTGTTAAAGACACACAATAAAAATGTATACTTAATAAATTTTTATTAAAATTACATGATATTAAAAAATTTAACATATTAATAAATTTAATTATCATAAAATTTAATGAAAATTAGTACTTAGTATTTTTTATTATATATTTTTTATTCATATTAAAAAGTTATTAGCTTATCAAAATTATTTATGATAAAAAATATTTATAAAATATAAATTTAAAAAATTATATGTTTTGTAATATGAGTTGTTAAAATATTAAAGTCTTAAATTAGTAAGTTAATAGTAATAAAAATTTATCTTAGTAACAAGTGATTCGATATCGCTTAAATAAAATATTAGATTTAAATTTTTATTTTTTATACAAAAAATATTTAGTGATACACTTATCCACCAAATTCAATTGTGTGACCCGGTCGAATCTAAATTAAAATAAATAAAAAAATTAATAAGTTAATAATAAATAAAAAGTTATATAAGAAAATGACTTTCAATAAAAAAAAAAATGTTAAGCTTAGATCTAAACACTTTGTAGGATAATAATAATTATTTTTTTAATGTAATACTTGTATTTTTGCTGGTTTCCTTTGTTTTATCTTACATATTAAGTACAAACAAATCCTGATACATGTTAAAAAAAATATTAATTTACTATTATTTTCAGGTTTCCCTTTATTTCATCTTACGAAATTTGATCGTTAAGTCGTTGCTATTTTGAACGGTGAATATATTTTACTCGTATGCTCTAAGATCGACAAAAATGAGTAAATATGTAATTTGATCATAATTTTCTACAATTAATCCTTAAAAAGTTCATTAGTTGGCCTGTAAATACATGCTATCGTTAACGGTACAAGATTTCACAACTATTTTTGGATAATTTTCTACTTTACTAAACAGATTCAAAAGATAAAATAAAAAAATAAAAAATATAACCAAACACTTACTATTGCATCACCACGAGCTACCAATAAAATTATTGCAAGTATTTAATTTTGGTTGGCCTTCTTAATTTTTGTCGTTGGAGGCTTGGAGCCTATCCCCGTTCTTTCATCAGTTCGTCACTAACATGATTTAACAATTATTTAAATAAATTTAATCATTTATGAAAAATATCAAAGATATAAAATTGTTGAACTACATCTAATGCAAATAAATATTATTTTTCTTTTGTGATTTTATTAAATTTAATTTTTAAAGTTAAGTTTAAATAATTAAAGGTAAAGAATTTTTATTAAAAGAACATATTTATCATACAAATTTTATAAGATTGAAATAAATATTTTTAAGCTAGTATTTTATTTCCTCACGTTAAGTCAAACACGGGAGTGGGGTTACAACTAATATGTGATTATTTAACTATTAATCAGACGACTCTCACGATTAATCAAATCAAGTTTGTGATCCACTGAATCTATCGAACCAATAAAGGCAAAGCGCTGTAACAACTAAACGTTACAAAGAAAACTTGTTAAAAAATAACTAATTATGGATGATTCAGAATCTAATATGACACTTTTACCCCCTGTATCTACTCGGGAACTCACCATGTCTATGCCGACTTGAAAGTCTTCAAAAAGCAATGGGTGGGTGTTCTTTGTTAGAGAATATGCTTTAAATGGAATAAAAAAAAACAAGGGAATAAATCCTCGTATGTTATAAGAACATTTTATGATAAAAAATATTTGCGTGTTGTATATATTAACAAAAAATAAGTGAATGCGAACATTATTAATCCAAATATTTTTTTTCTTAAAAATACAGGAAATTTTAAATTAGAAAAACATTGTAAATATATCTAATTTTTTTTAAAAATAAATTATTAGTCAACATACAACAGTGATCAATTTTATATTTTACAATATACATTTCAGTTTAAAACTTTTAAAAACGTGACAATTGCCGAGAGTTGACTATGCCTTCCCACTGCTTTAAAAGTAAGCAAAAAAATAAAATAAAAAATGCCAGAAAATACTTTTAAACACATTCTTTAACACCTTTTTTTTAATTCATCAATTTTTAAAATGTTAAACCACTTGTATAATAAATTAATTATTTTTAAATTTTTTAAAAAATCTTAATTCAACAGAAAATATTAAAAATAATAACATAAAAGAGAAGTAAATAAAAATAAATCAAAGAATATTATTCGAATAGATAAAAATAAGAAAAATAAACGAGACTTTTTTTTATCTTTACTTAATTAGATAAGTTAAAAAAGTGAAAGTGTAAAATATAAAAAGCTTTTTATATTGATTAAATGTCTGATATTTGATTGTATATATTTCTCTTATATATATATATACATGTTTTTGTGTTGTAAAAATGTTTTATCTCGTGAACAACGAAACTGAAAAAAGAAAAACTTTCTCATCCGTCCATTTCTCGTGTTGTATACTAGTAGTGGACTTTTTAAATGTAGGTCTCACATCCAATTTCGTTCTACCTATATTTTTGCGCAATTAAATGAATAATAAAGAGATAGTAATATTCCCCATTCAATCAAAAGAGATGTAGAATCAATTTTAAACGTGTAAAAATAGTATACTATTTTTATTAAAAATAAATAAAATTTATGTTTTTAAACAACTCTTTTATTAGTTGAATACCAGATTAGTCTCATTTTGCAATAATTATTTCTTGTGTTTGAGCAAGCAAATACCTCAAACACTATTGTAAGATTAATTTGCAAGATTCTTATTCATTTGACTATCAATAAATATTTTGCTTAATTATGTTATTAGGTAAATTTGATTCTTAAGAGCGTAACACACTTGTAATGATGAATTACCGATAAAAGTGACACATTGGATGAGAAATTGATAGAAAATATTGGGGATAAACAACAATCTCTATTTGAATAAAAGTGGTTTACAAAAAGTAACGTGAAGATATCATTATCGATTCAAAAGGCAAGGGAACAATTGCCGAACACTTGACAGATGGAACGAGTATGCGTCGTCCCACGATTTGATCCTTAAAGCACAATTTCAAAAGGAGAATGATAACCGGTGAGGGGTATATCCGTAATTGGATACAGAGAGGGAATCTCTGGGTTGGAGGTCCTTGTTTTAGGGGGTTTCCCAGCCCAAGAGTCGTGGAAAGCACCCATCAATCATTCACTGTGTTTTGAGGAGTGTGGACATGTAAGTGGATGATAGTGCCTTCCATTTCATATACACCCACGTGTTAGCGATCACACGCACCTCCTCCTTACAATTTACAAATGGAATCAATCCATCCTAAAGCAGATACCTCCACCTCCTCCCAAGTTTGCACCGTGGACTTGAAAATTTTAAAGGTGTTTCCATGATTAATACCCTTTTATTTTTCTAATTTTGTTTTGTTAAATATATATTACTTTTTGTACGGATTAGACTATGGTCTAAGAACTGGGTAGGGTCTTTGTACGCACTGTGCATTGCTTGCTTGCTTGCTATGTTATCTTCAAGAGCCATTCTTCTTCCATTTGGCATTTTGGGCCGTCTAATCTCTGGCTACCTTCTCGAAGAAATTTCCACGTGTTGTAGGTGTGGTTAAAGTCCACAGCGCGATGGATTAAAATTCAGAGAGAGTGAACAGGTGTAGGTAATAGTAGAGTTGTAGCTAAGAACGACCGGTTCATTAGTCGCAGTCAAATCATCTCGAAATTACACCATCTTTTCTTGTACTTGTTGTAAAAAGACAGTCATTTATGAGGAATTAGAAAATTGGAAAAAGAATTTATTATTTTGTCATTTAAGTTCAACTAATTCACACGTCAAATTTTACCAAACGAGTAGGGCCCTAAAGTAATACAACGTGCCACCTGGCGTTTCTGAGAGAGTACCGTTGCTTACGTACATAGGTTCCTCACACGTCACCCACACATAGGGAACAATCCCGTGCAGGCAAATCCATTGAGGACGGTCCAATCACATTTCACAACCCATAGAATCACAATGCTTTGGGTGTTAAGTATAAGGGGACGAAAGCGGGTGCAGGGTTGTACGAAGCAGAGAATGAAAAGGGAAAAGAAACGTGTGGAAGGAGGATCAAATGGGGGACAGGTGGAGTCGCAGCATAAGGCAGGTGAGTGCGACTACAAACAGTTCGTGCCTCTCTCTCTCTCTTCCTTTACCCACTCAAAATTCACAATAGATGCGTGTGCCATCAACAAAACTCTTATTTTTCTCACACGTGTCGCTTTCTCGCTTCTCCTTTCTACTCCTTTTATCGTCTCCTCTCTTCCCTTTCTTCTCCCTTTCCTCTCTCAATTTGTTGCGTTATGGAGGAGGATGACCAACTCGAACGATTCGACTCCGAGTTTGCTTCCACCAGTTCCGGCTCCGGCATTTCCTCCATACTCAGCACCGAAGATTTCCGGAACCTCACCAGCTCCGGCGACATTTCCTCTATCAGCAGCGGCTCCGGCGAGATTCCGCCCGTCGCCGTGACCGAGGCGGTTCTCGTGCCGCCGTTGCTTCACCGCGCTGGTTCCAATGGCGACGATGGCGAGCCAGCCATGCCGCCCGCGTTGAGGGAGAAGTGCGTGGGAAGGAGTAGCAAGGGAGTGAGCTGGGGACACACTTCGGTGATTGGGAGGCGGAGAGAGATGGAAGACGCCCTCGCCGTTATTCCAGGGTTCATGTCTCGCACGTGCGATCATGTCGGTGGTTGTGCTGCTCCCGGCTCCAGATCCTCCGGCGAGATCTCTCCCGTTCATTTCTTCGGTGTTTACGACGGCCACGGTGGCTCTCAGGTACGATGCACCTCCTTTTTCCATTTTCTTTTATTATTATGTAATTTTCGCGTAATTTCCGTTTTAATAATTTAAATATTGAAATTTGAAAGAGGTATTCTGGCTATGGTGACTGGACAAAGGAAGGGAGTGCGGCGTTCTGATTAATAAGTTAGCTCAATTTTTTTTTATCTGGTCAATTAATCTTAATATTTAATACTAATTTTCTCTATTTATAAATAAAAAATGATTTCGGAATTATTATGCTGGTTAAATTTAAACTGGGAATGTGGTTGGTGGGTGTGTTCCTCAGAAAGGCCACGTGTTATAGGCAGAGTGGTCCATACAGGGAGAGATAAATTCACGGTACTTTTCATTTTGCTGCGACACGTGTAAACATGACCGTGCATAACACGACTGTGGGCCTTTCTTTCTCTTCCAAGACAGATAGATACTTGTACTAATTAAGAATGGGGATTGGTTAGCGTAACTGAGATTTGATGTGGTTTCTATCACAGACAAATCATCACGTTGTGGCATGCCAAAAGGTTTGGGAGAGTTGAGAAAGTTAGAGAGACGAGACGAGGTTTTACTATGAAAAGAAATATATAATGATTAATAAGTGTTTTTGTTATTATATTCGGGAGATTTAACTTTCTTTTAAGGGGAAAAGATACATATAGTGATAATTTATTTATGACTGACTTAAATTAAAAGATATAATTACTTTTAAATTAATAATAGGTAGACCCTTTCCTATTCTCCTCGCCCGTTTGGGGAGAACGAATGTGGATCGTTGGAAAAGGTTGGGCCACGTGGATGGAAGGATGAGCTTTTTGTCGAAAGAAAAGTATAGTGTTCCTATGTGAGTAAGTGGGACCCACACTTAATTATGTGCCTTTGCACTACTTTTGGCATATTATGTGGGGCTGACTGATGACCGTCGTGGCTGGTCCGCTTCATTTTGGAAAAGTTTTCGTTATGTTCTTTTGAATAGCAATTTGCATAGCTTATAAGAAAATATTAACAGAAATTTTTAAAATTGAATTTAAGTAGTTAATAAAACATATTTATTAAAAAATTATTAATTTTTTTTATAATTTTAATATGATAAATATATTTTTAATGAAAATTTATTATTTACGATATTCAAATTCAGTGAAAAGAATTAAGATAACAAAACTCTAAATTATAATGAATGACGTAACATAATTATTTATGTCATTAGATTAAGGGTGTTGCTAAAAGGATATAGGTTAAAAAATTAGTAGATATTAAATTTTGTAATAAAAATATTATATTAGGAGAGACTGAATATATTTTTATGATTTTTAATAAAATGTTTTAACTTTTTATTCTTAGCATTTTTCGTTGATTAAATCACAACTGTTAAAAAAATATTCAAATATATAAATGATTTTTCTCTGCGTTGGGTATCAAACAATTAAAGTTTATGTGGAACTTTCTTTCGTAGAAAATAGATTTATAGTTTTATGTTATCAAGTATTATATTATATGATATTTTATATTTTTAAATAAAAATTTATCATACGTAAATTTCTGTTGTGTTTGTAAATATGTTAAAAACTGATCTTATGTATTGATAACATTGAATATTATAATTTTTAAAAGTTGCTATTTATTAATTTTTTATTATATATTCTTAAACGCACATTAGATAATTATTTAATTATTTTGTATTCATAATTTTAGGGATTTTTTTTTTAGTAAAATATTTTTGTTTTTATTCTAGAGTTACTTTTTGTGATGCTTAGTTACATGAAGCCAATCATCATACGCGCGAGGTTTAGGACTAATCTTTAAATAAGAGATTTGGTGTTAAAAATTGTGCAAGCAAAAAGTATTAAGAATAATTCTTTCCCTAAGAAGTTTGGTTTCCTATATGATTATCAACGCTATTTATCAATCGGACAACAATGATACAATTCTGTATACATATATAATTGGGAGGTCGAAAATGTATGGATACCAAACATTTGAGGGTACCTAATAAATTTCCATAATTTTATTAGCTTAAACGTCAGCTACGGAAATGTCAACACCAACTCGGAATCACCGAAAGCATTATCTCCAGTACCGTTGCATATTATTCTGTGGTAGCTATGTCGTTGTTTGTATTTGAAGTAATGCGCAACAGAATTTCAAGCTAGGTTGCGTGGGGGAAAAATGGGGAGCCTATAATGTAGCGTTGGTGGAGGAGTTTAGTTCGCCCGAAAATGAGATAAAACATTTTTATGTGCAATTCTCGTCATTCTTGTTCTTGCACATTGAAGCAAAAATGAGGACCTCTATAGATTAAGATCTCATATGAAGATGCCTTATTAGACTGTGAGTAGGTTTTGTTGACTGGCTGGGAAGCAAAAAATGAGGTTTTCTTTTTTATCAACATAAAAAGATAGGCTATTTTGAATGTTCTCATCAAATAGCATACCATGTTAGATTGGATAATTATTTAGCATTGTATTAAATTCATGGTAGATGTAACATGACATTAACACCTATTATTTTGCGTATCCAATTGAGTATTTCTTTGACTACAACTATCTATTTCAGAATTATGATACCAAAGATGGATTAAGAAGGGCAACTGACTCTGAACGTCCTTCCCCCTGTACAAGGGAGGAGTAATACCTGTCCAAAATGCAAGGCGTGGAGGTCATTATAGATGGATAGCATTTTGGTGTTGACACGCGTCCAAAATCTTCCCCTGATGATAGCTAATTTTTCTATTTTTTTTTCCCTCCAAACTATATTAACCTTTGATTCTAGTCGACTGCATTTGTCAACATGGTCCCCATAACACAAAAAGCTAGCCACAAAGTATCTAGCCGTCTAGAATAAGTTAATACTCCCTTTGATCTTATTTACAAGACACATTCTAAAAATATTTTATGATCCTAACATAAATTACTTGACAAAGTTTTGAAAGTATTCATCATTATTTATTTATTGCCTTCATAACTATTAAATTTTTCTGCAATTAATATAATTGTAAAGTTTAACTTTAAATCACTTAGAAGGTTGTAATAAGTTTTTAAGAAACCAATACATCAAGGACCTCGTAAATAGGTTGGGAGTATATGATGTCTAGTTTACGATTTTTCTAACATTTGTGGTAATTTAATCCTAGGTGGCGAAGTTTTGTGCCAAGCGGATGCACGATGTTATAGCAGAGGAGTGGGACCGAGAAATGGCAGGTGGCACTGAATGGCAGAGAAGGTGGGAAGCCGTATTTGCTAACAGTTTTGAGAGAACTGACAATGAAATCCTATCAGACGCAGTTGCACCAGAAATGGTAGGATCTACTGCCTCTGTGGTGGTTCTATCTGGTTGTCAAATTATTACATCCAACTGTGGCGATTCAAGGGTAGTTCTTTGCCGCAGGACACAAACAATCCCCCTGACAGTGGATCAGAAGGTCTATCAAAACCCACTTATCTTCTTACGTTGATATAATTGCAACCATGTTGTCATGTGTTCCGTTTAGGTTCTTCGAAAATGAAAAATTACATGCACTGCCGGTTTATTAAATAAAGCTGGCCATCTTTGTTTGTCATGCATTCTTTAGTTTTCATGTGTATATATAGAGGATTAATTTATGTCAATGCTTTTGAAGTTCTGAGATAACTGCAACCCATAAGAGTGATGACTAAAAATAAAAAAGAAAACACTGGCCTATGCAACCATATATTCAAAACGTTCAGGGATGGATCTTGTTAGTAACGCTCAAAAATATTCTTTGAAAAATTGTATATATTGATTATAAATATTTTATATAAAAAATATATAATTTTATAATTTATTAATTTAATTGTTTAGATTAAAAGTAGTTTTTTTTACTCCTTCCCCTCCATGTTTGTTGGATTCGTCCCTGCAAACATGTTATCTTTTCCTTCAGTGCAGTTATCTTTTATTTTATTAACGGAATTAAGATACCATTGTCCTTGCTTGTACAGCCGGATAGACAAGATGAACTCTTGAGAATTGAAGGAGGAGGAGGAAAAGTCATAAACTGGAATGGAGCTAGGGTGTTTGGTGTTCTTGCCATGTCCAGGGCCATAGGTACCTTGATTTACCTTCATATCCAGTCATAGGTTAAAAATTTACGAAATCTTTTCTTCTTTTGAACCATTGATTACGGCGTCAAGTTCCTTTCAATATTAATATGGTCAATAATCTTTCTGCTGTGAGGTAATAAAGAATGCCGACGGCTATTATCGTCTAGTAAAATAAGGAATTGTTCCCAAAATGATTTCGATCATGTAAGCCCTGTGATTATGATAATTATCTTCACTCCTGTACTATGATAATTTCCTTTTGGTGTCACCATAAATAAGTTATTAAAAGTAAAAACGAAATGTGGATATACAAAAACTCACTGCATTAGATGCCTGATAATGATACCATGGGAGAATATGGAGTTAAATAAGGTGATCTGAGCATGTATTGAAAACTTTCTTTGTTTTGTTACTTGAAAATGAGTCTGAGATTAAGGATCCTGAAGCCGGGAAGTGACGACAAGGGGAAAATGCATCCATAACCGTAAGTTATATACACAGTGACACTGCACAGACATATTTATATGATAATGTTTTTTCTTAGTTTGGTTTAATACGTAATTGAAACTGTAGCAGATATTGAGCAGAAATTTTGCTGATCATACGATGTTTTAAAATAATTAGGGTAGGTATATTTGTTCTAAGTTTTTCTATGGATTTTTAGTTATTTAGGGCTGGCCATGGCTCTAGGATCGATAATAGTTTTCGTGACTAATTTCAAAATTTGTTTGATAAAAGAATTTATTTTAGTAATCTATAATATTTTCTGAAATGTTGCTTTATGTTGCGTTTGATTTTAAATTCTTAATTATCTATTTTTTAATGGTTACTTTCACTATTTTTATTATAATATGTAATTATTTTAATTTAAAAAATCCTCAGAAATAATATTTTTAATATAAAATTATCAATACTATAATTTAATTTCATTTATATTGTCCCATTTTATTTAATAAAAATATAAAAAATAAGAATAAATTTTTAAAAAAATATCATCCTAAGTTTTAAGATGATAAATGATTTAAAATTAGTTAAAATATAGAAATTGATAAATATTTAAAAAGATATATAATTACTATGTTTCAAATTGAGGCCAAATAATTAATTAATTTTTATGTTATTTTACAGATATAAGCTAGTTTAACTAATTTTAACAAACCTTTTTAATTTAACCAACTAACTTATTAATTTTTAGTTTCTAACCTTTAAACTTTCGGATAACTTATTTATTAATTTCCTATGATCATTAAATTTTGACTGAATTGTGTCAAACTTCTGATTTAATATTTGAGACCTTACATCTAAATTTTTTTGACATCGGCGCGAGAGTAGTTGATAGTTGTTGGGAGTAGATATAATGATTAGAGGAATAGAATTTTAAGAGAATGATATAACTAGATAGAGGGGTGCAATAATTATATTATTGTTAAACATAGGTCGGTGAGTTTGTGGTAAGGGCTTGGTATACGAGTCAAGTTAGCCCATGAAATATAAGCCTAGTTTGGAATAGACTATCATTAAAGGAGTTAAATCAAATTAGCTTATGAAATAAATGGACTTGTTTTGTTCACCTGCTATCCTTTTAGGCTTGCCAGTTACTAGACCAACTCTTAAATTGATAAAATATACTTAAAAATCTAGAGAAAACATAAAAATATGGAAAAAAAAAATCAGTAAAATAAATTAGCAATAGCTAATTCTATTTTATTTTCTAAAGTTTTGGTCTTGAGACAATCCATTAACGTGCAGGTTGCAACTCATTTCAGATGCAATTTAAACGGATAAAACTAAGAAAGCTCACATTCTATATCTGTATTTGTGAGATATAAAGACCAACTTGCAGGTCTAACTCAGCTTTGGGCCTTTGGCTGAAAGATGTACTATCAAGAGTTACAAGACTAGCCTAGTTATACCTTCATCTTAGAACCTATCATATTTCTTCTTTTAACAATTACATCTAAATTATTTTCACTTTTGATCTACTTCAAAATTTTCAGAGAATTCTACATGGACATTTATATTTATAGTTAATGGTTCGCTAGAAATTTTGGTGCAAGCTATCTAAATTCCTATTAAATTCTAGAAAATTTCCAATTCAACAATAACCATTAAATATGGTGTTATTGCCGGATTATCTATATCACTTGTATATCATATTATCTTAATTATAAATACTTCAGTAAGCTCGTGGTGTGTAATTCATTTTCCAACCTCACTTAGTGGGACAAAATTTGATTGTGTTTGATAAATACGCCAGCGAACACATTTGCATTTACTTAGAAAACTTGTTCTATCTGTAAATAAAGATTGGGGCTACTACTACTGTAAAAAGGGATTTGGTATGCATGGACAGTTTTTCAAGTTGATCTATAGGATTTGGACATATCTTGGAACCAAGTCAGTGACTATTCCTGTATTTACCTGCTTAATGATGAAATTTCAGGGGATCGGTATTTGAGGCCATGGATTATTCCGGTGCCAGAGATAACTTTTACATCAAGAACTGACGAGGATGAGTGCTTAATTTTAGCAAGTGACGGACTTTGGGATGTAATGACCAATGAAGAGGTTGGAGAAGTAGCACGCCACATTCTTAGAAGGCGCCGGAGATCTTTGTCGATGGAGGAAATATCTCCTGCACAAGTTGTTGCTGACAGCCTGACTGAAATTGCTTATGGTAGAAATAGTAAAGACAACATTTCAATAATAGTTGTTGATCTAAAATCAAAGAGAAAACGTCAGCAAAGGCCTCCTTTGGTTTCCTGAGAATTCCAGTCTCTTAAATCTTTTTCTACCTTGAGAAGGATAAAGAGGCGATACTGAAGTTGTATAGTTGATCTATAAACAAACCCTTCTTGTCTAATGACCCCATTGATAATTGTTATCACTTCAACTTGTGTTTCTCCTAACCTTCTGTACAGAGTTTATTGGCAAAAAGAATCTGCTTCGTGACAAAGTCACAACTAGCTCTGGCTTGGTTGTTATAATGAAGTATAGATCAGTGATCATTTTTATCCCTTTTGATCCTGATTCCTGAACAGTTATGTCTGGGTTCAAGGAAGAAGAGACGGGGGAAAACAGAATGAAATGCCGTCAATTATCTTTGAATTTTTTTAGTTGAAAGAAATGGAATAAAACATGATAAACTTTATTCCATCCATTGCATTTAATACTTTCGCTTTTCTTTTCTTTAATTCGAATATATGGGAATGGGATGAAGTTACTCCAATAAAATTATAGCTCTTACCCTTTCGTCTAATTTTTCAAATGATAAAATGAAAAATTCACTTTTTTTATCATATAACATACAAATAATGATAATGATTGTATTTTATTTTATTTTATCTCTATTTTTTCCCTTTTAATTTATCATTGAATATTAAAATATAGTTGAAGGAAAGGTTCGAATAGGAAACTCTTCTGTTTAATCGATACATGAAATGCATAATAATTAACATTTATTAAGCAAACACTTATCTAAAATAACAACAAAAAATTATGCTCAATGTCTTATATATCTAACGCAATAAAATTTAATATTTAATAAATTTGTTTGTTTCACCTATTTAATGTTTATTCAAATTTCATTTATATTTTACAAGAAAAGATTCATTCATAATATGATTTTATGGTTTGTAAGAGGATTACAGAATGTTTTTTTTTTAATTACATAAGAATTGTTTATAAGTCGCAAATGAAATGTTAATATGGTGCAAAAGAAAATTTAGTCTAGCCTAGTTAGTAATAATTAAATATGTATCTCGTAAGAATGCAGATTCAAATCCCAGAGTCAATGTGAGAACCTCATTAACGAGTAATCTGTAATTATCTTTGTAAACATTCTTTGAACCTTGAAGTATATCGCGACCCTAGTGAGCTCCCGAAACCAACTCATCTAAATTATTTGTAACCCAAAATACAGACCAGAGACTAGAAAGAATCATAGGTTTACTCATAAGTTAATTTCGTTTGGGTACTTTACATCCGTGCAATGCAAAATTTAAGGGTACAAAGTTTGCAAAATTTAAGGAATGAGCAAAGATATTCATTATCGTGCCTTTGCAATTCCAATTCCAATTACTCATCTCTTTCGGTGTCCAAGCTATGAACGCTTTTTCCACCAATAAGAAAGTTAAAAACTTGCCTCAAATTTCCTCTGGATGGTCGGGCATTTGTTGCAAACTTACAGACATATACAAGCCGTCTCCTCATATCCCATTTAGTGACTTGTGTTACATTGAAGGATTTCCCATCATCAAACGTACCTTAAAAAAGAACCGTAAACAACGGAGACGGAATAATTAGTGATAGAAATAACCATGATATCCATAAATCATCAAGCTTTCAATGTTCAAGAATATACATACACAGAAAAAACTTATTTTGAGCAATTAACTCAACCTCAATTTTTAAACATATATCTTCCTATCAGATATTGAATGTATTCTCTTATCTATTGCTTAGAACATCGTGCCATTTATGTCGGAAATTATTTAAGCCTAATGACTTTTCGGGTTTCCCAGTGATAGACATGCAATGCAAGCACAGCTAAGTAAAAATGCATTATATTTTCTTATGCAAAAAATGGATTATATTTGATCAACATAGGATGCTTATTGTGTTTCAAACTGCTTGAGTATTTTTATCCAAGATAAATACCAAATGGAATGGCTAGTTTAGATGTAGAATTTATTGTGTAATTTACTTAAAACCTGCTAAGGTTATTTATCATTGACTTTAACTTTACTAGTTACTATGCTTCCTACATAATCCCCTTACTCTACACAACAGTTTTTCAGTATTCAGTAAAAACTATTAAAATATTTTCTCCCCACTTATCCTTTCCCTCCTCTTTCTCTCTCTCTTGCTAGATTAAATTTCTTGTGTTTAAAATCATCAATTTTGCATTGGGTCTAATATGTATGCTTGAAAATGGGCGGGATGAATAATGCAACATGTTGAAGTGCAATAAATTATTCTTTCGCAACAATATGAAAGATATACAGATATGTACCTTTTTCATCAAATAATGAGATCAAGATCGCTAAACAAACACATACACTAATATCTTCCCCTGAAAAGCAAAGAAAAATAATGTATTAGTGGTTTTGTACAACACACTTAATAATTTGCTTTTACACAGGTCTACCAGAAAGATTTAGAAGGATTAAGGAAAGGCACCTTGGAGATTAAAAGAGATAGAGTTAGAAAAAAAAAAAGATCCAAAAATAAAAGTTAAAAGGACAGTGAATGTAACTCTGAATGTACTGTACCCAACAAATGACAAGTACATTATCAAGGTGCTTGCTTCAAACTTAAAAGGAAAATATCTTAGATGCATGAGAATAGGATAAGGTAACATATGCGGACATCTAAGATCCCCATGTTTGGTAATTGGAATTGGTATAAAATTTGGAAGTGATTAAATAAAGGACACATGATAATTTACGAGAATCTGTAAAAGCCATTTACTCAGGAATTCAGATTCCCACATTTTCTTAGGTATGGGATACCTGTAATTGGTGGAACCATAGGCCTTAAAAGGAAATTTAGGTGAAGATACCCAAAATCCTAGATGAAGACTTAGAACGGAAAAACTTGATATGTTTTTGGTGTGGCAGAGATGGGGTGGTGAGGGCTTCAAAACTGCAGGGGATGATGCAGGGAGTTGAGACTGTTTAGAAGTGAAAAGGGGTGTTGGCTACCAGGATAAAAAATTAGGGCTGATCAGTAAGTAAAACAAATTTGTGGAAGAGTGAAATGGAAGTATCCAGCAGTACTACGGAGGAAGCTAAAATAAACTAGTGAGAACAGTCGTGTGACTGTGATCCGGGGGGGGGGGGGGGCGGGATTTGAGATGTGGTGTGATCTATTCCCTTGTCCCTTCTAAGTTCCACGAGTGTCTCCTATACAAAAAATGCTATCAATGACAATTTAACTGTTTTCAAACAAGGAATAAATATATTTCAAACAGAAGGTACTTTAGAGCCATTACCATTATTACAGCAAACTAGAAGTCTTTTTCCTTGGCTGAGATTGAACTTTGCAAAGCTCACCGCTTTAGGTAGATTGTTTAATAAAGAAAATCGATCGAACTTTGAAGTCTGGCCATCAAAGATGAAAATGAGCAGAATATTTCCACAAAATAATAATAACTGCAAATTTTCTTTCCACTTCATACTAACCACCATTGGAAGATGCAAATATGATTCAGCACTGGGAAGACAGACAGAGATGGACTCCCGATCACAATTCAATATGCAATCAACATCAGCAGCATCTGCAGCTGTTCCAAACATGAACACTGAACATTCAGCCAGATAAACTTTGAAGGAAAAAATACTGCTCAATGCTGTTTCTGATCAGAGGCAGACTGGACAACAAGGCAACAAAAGTATGTCTGTACTATAAATTTAACAATTTATTTCCAGTCTACAGACTTTCTGCTTTCAAAAAATGTATTATAGTATAAACTCAAGAGAACCAGGCGTCCTCAAAAGAAATACAACAGCCAAGTCTTATCTCACTACGTGAGATCAGCTATCCTCAAAAGAAATGCACCAGAAAATTATCGAAGGGCATCATACCAATTTGAGATGTGCCAACTGCCAAATTAGTTGAACCCAACCAAGATATTCCAAAATCTTCTGAAGATTCAGTGTCAATTTTAATGTTTAAAATATCATCAGTTACTGATGGTTCTTCATGCAAAAGAGAGGTTGACTTGAGGGGTTTAACTGTGATCTGCGGTGCACTTTCTCCTCGATGTGCACGGGATACTCTACTCCTTTCGACTATATCCGCAACCTTCTGGTTACACATATCAGGACCCGAATTTATAAGATCATAAACATGTTTCCAGAAAAGGGCAGGGGATAAACCCCTGGCCCAGCTTTCTTCGTCATCTCCAGCACCAGGTATGTAATTCCAGCTAAATTCAGAGGTAGTCCTATGTTGGCTTAAACCAACTGATGAAGATGCAGACAGAAGAATGATGGGTGTGAAATCCCAAGAATCGTGGTGAGGCACTTCATTCAACCAGATTACAGTTTTCTGTGAAATCCAGAGAGGGCGCAAGGGCTTCCTCAAGCATGCAGCAAGCGAAACAATATCAGCCCCACTTGCTTTCAGTTGCCGAGTCCATTCCTCTAACCGCTCCTCAATGGAAGCTTTTTCTGTTTGGGGAACCCAAAGGGGGAGATGCAAAGAGCAATCCCAATGAAGAGCACGTTCATCACAACCATTAGAATCCTACATCATGAACACAACACAACACAATAAATCACATGGATGCAGGGTAATAAATATACAGTTAGTTCCTATAAATTACTCCTCATTTACAATTAGTTTTTATACTTAAAAGGCTTCCGTTTTAATCCTTATACAAATGTTACATTACATTTCAATTCTTAGAAAAATACAACTCAGACCAAATCTTATCAAATAATTTGGACAGAAACTGAAATCTAAAGTGTATTTTAATCTAAAGTGTTAAAATAGCCCGATTCAGACTAAAGTGTTATCTAATCTAAAGTGTTAAAATAGACCAACTCAGACTAAAGTGTATTTTAATCTAAATGAAAGAAGAGGAAGATTAACATTCTCACATGGAAGTCCTTAATAGCCCGATTCAAAACGCAGGTCCAAATGGGTATAGTTTTTGACATGCTATCAGGGAAGCGCTTTCCTTTACGAGTGGAATCAACGATGATGCAGCCTCCCTTCTGTCCTACCCAGATGAAGAATCATAAAAAATGAGGGAAAAAGAAAAGAAATTTGATGAAAGGGAATGGAAAAGGAGAGTACCAGCGAGGTGGGCAACGTGGAGATTGAGGCGAGAGGTGCTGAAGGAGCAATTGTTGGTGTGGCCATCGGTGGATTTGAAGTAACAGTTGGAGTGGAAGTTGGGGGAATACCAGAGGCCACAGCGAAGGTTGGCGAGGAGAGGAAGCTGTGGCCATAGCTGAGAGATTTCCCGGACGAAGATGGAGTCTTCGTAAATGGATCTCAGTGCGTTGTACACACTGTTGTCTCTTCGCTTGATGCTTCTCACCGCCTTGTAAATGCTTAGCTTCGCACCTTCATCTTCCTCCATCCAAGCTTTTTAGGTAATTCAAATGCCTCCTCAAATCTTCTTCTTCTTCACCACTTATATTTCATTACTCACTTATAAATTTTTACTTTTTGGTTGTTTCAACTCTTTTTTCACATCATCTATAGTCTTTTTCTTTTAGGATTTTAAATAATCATCTTTTAATGTTTTTTTCTTCGATACATTTTTAATACATTTATTATAGATAAATGAGACAGTAAATAATTTTAAATCTAATTATTTATATAATTTATACGTATATAATTTAATCATATATTTGTTTAATTACAATTACAAAAAAACTCATAAATATTTATGAAAATAAATGTTGATGCATCGTCAAGTTCTAAGATTCAATGAAGAGGCTTTTTTTTCTTGAAATAATAATTAAATTTAGTGTCTCTAAGTGATATGCATGAATAAAATATTGAACACAAAAAAAATATGTTAATGAAATGTGCAGTTTATCTGGAATTGTAACATAAACATGAATGCATTTTAATTTAGGTTCAATTTAAATGAACTTTTAGTTTATGATGATGTTTAGTTATAAAATTTCGCTGTTAATCTTTTTTTAAAGATAAGAATATATTTGAGTTTAGTTAAGTTTATGAGTATTTATTGGAAAATTAAATGAGTTTTTTATATATATAAAATGTTAAAACAAACATAAATTAATTTTAACTAATATAAAATGTCTAATTTATTTTATTTTCCTCTTTAATGGGAAATATACGGAAAAGTTTGTTTAAACTAATTCTTAAAATTAGTTATCTGATTTCGTCTTCTTTTAGTTACTCGGTACTCCTTAAAACCAAAGGTTAGGACTAGTATAATTACTAAAAATGCAAGGTTGAAAGGAATAAATTAAAATGATTTTTTAATACTTTTGATGGACAAATTTAGTTGTATCGTTTATTTTATGAGTATATTTCTTAAATACACGTGTCTATCAATTTTAAATTATTTAAATAATGAAATTGATAAATAAAACAAATAATAATTCTTTCTTCACTTTGTATCCACACCTTTTACAAAGAAATAAAAACTAATTTGATTGGATTTCAATATTTAAATATTTTAAATTCTAATTTAATTTAATCTTTTAAATAAATTTTATTAATTTTGATATTTAAAACTTTTAAAATATTTTATAATAATATTTGATCGCACTTTATTATAACATAACATATATCTAGTCATGTTATAATAATAACCTTTTAAAGTAACAAATTGTGTAAAATATTTAAATGTATCTTACATTATTAATAAATAGTAATAGAAATTATTTTTAAAAGGCTTAAATGTATTATTTGTTCTTATAAATATAAATTATTTTGTAATAAATTTTTATAAATTTTTTTATTAAGATTTAGTCTTTATAAAATTGGAAAGTTAGAGTTTAGTCCTGTCATCAACTCTACTTCTATTAATTATTGAATTAACTGACAGAAAGTCAATTCAGCATTTTCAGTTACTATGAAGTTAGTCTTAAATAGTTGGTCTTTGAGAATAAAAAGGTTATTAAGTATGAAGAAGCATTTGGGGAATGGAGTTGGGAGTGAGTTTGGATTTAGGTCTGTAACATGAGAATTGAAGTTGCAAGTCAGACTTATCACAAAATAACCTGTATTTATAGATACTAATAATATTTTTAAACTTTTTTAAAAATAAAAAAAAGAAAAATTTAAAAGCAAATGTAACTCTAGTACAGTATATTTTAGCCTATTTATAACTTCTAATCATGGCAACATTTTTTAGTACTGCATTGGTTGTTTTAGAAGCTGTATTGGTTGCTGAAGAAGCTGGAGTGAAGGCCTTTCGTATCTGAAAGACATTCCAAGCAGTGTGAGCGGCATGTTCTGCAGTTGCAAACACATGCTCAGTAGCTTCCCCTGCGCTTTCCCCAAACCTGTTGGCCAAGAATGATACATGAAAACTAAAGATAAATATTGATCAGTGTCCTTAGTATCCTAAACTTATTAGTTAAAAAGTTTATTTTTGGGATAAGACTTGGTTGTTGATGTTAAACATATCTTTTAATGAATTTTTTATCACTGTCTTTAAAATATTAGTTAGCAAGACCATTAAATAAAAACATATTAATGTACAATGTAAACTTGTTAGCAACAATGGGAATTCCATTAAAAATTAATATACTACAAATATCTGCTGTATTATTTAGTCAATCAAATGTCCTTTACCTGTTAGAGACCATTCTAGATGCAGCTTTGGAAGTGGCAGAGAAAGATTGTTTTTCAGCAGCTTCAGCTGCATCAAGAACCTTGTCTGCAGCAGCATTTGAAAAGAAACAAACAAGTGAGGGTGGTGTCGCTCATTTGAAAGAAAAGACATGTTATAAAGTGTTGTGTTTGACTTACTGAGGGCGTCAAAGGAAGCCAACATCACCTCCCCAGGAAGCTTCTTTAGGAATGCCTTTCCTGGTTTGGATTTAACCACAGGACCCATCACTGTTCCACTGACTATACCAACACCACTAAGAAAAGATTTGCTTAACTTTTCTGTCATGCTGGACAGCTTTCTCACACTAGAATATGCAAATACAAAACATAATTAATTAATAATAGCTCATTTTCATGTGCGGTAATTATTGTGGTATGTGTGTCCTAGTCTCATTTTTCCAATACCGTTTGAGGTTTTTATTAATCTTGCTCTTCTTCTTTGAGGCACTACCAGTGTTGTTGTTCATACTTTCCCTGCTCACCACACCATTTTTCAAGCTTGCAGAACTATTTAAGATCGTTTCTCCTCCTTTTTGGACCTGATGGTTTCCATCCAACAAGTTTAGATCAAAATTTAGTGGGAGTATATTTTATAAATGTCTTTCTGTTGTCTTTCCTTTTCTTCTATTCGTCATTATCGGTCTTACTGTAACAGTCACGTAAATTTCACTCATTTTCTAGCCTCAAGAAATTACATACAAGGCTCAAGCATGTCATAAAATAAAAAGTGGGTTAAATTATAATTTGTCCCAATATTTGATTTATTTATTTTTATTTAATTCGTATGAGAAAAAATATTATATCTTAGTTTTCATATTTAAAATATATTTGATGCTTACCATTCATTAAAATTATAATATCCTTAGCATATTTTTCATACAATAATCCAAACAAAAAATGATGTCATATATATGGACGACAACATAAAATGTTTATATGGAGAAACTAAATGAAGTATAATTATAAGGATTGGAAAGAAAAAACAATGTTAAATGTAGTTATTATATTTAATATTTTTCTAACTTTAATAAATGATAAAAACTGATCTATAAATAATTTAAAGAAAAAAGAAATCATATTTTCTTTTCATATAAAAACTAAATACCTTGTTGGTGTAAGCATTGCTGCAGATGAAGATACCCTTCACAATCTGACCAGTCCCTCCTGCAATAACCTTTGCCAGAAAATGATTGTAATCTTCAACCCTTGGAGCAAACTCCTTCCAATCAAGATTATTCTCCTTACTCGAATTCAAGCCAGAAAAGCAAGAATGTTCCTTCAGAAACGAATCCACCAAACCCAAGCTTCCAAAACTGTGTTCTGAAAAGGTGACACCATAGCTGAGAGGCTCACCATCTTTCACAGGCAAAGAAAACAGGTAATGAAGAGCATCAAGCCTCACTACTGGCTCATCTTTTGTCAAAGGCCATTGAAGATCATCTCCTACTTTTATTATTGTAGCCAGAGACACATTCTCTTCCAAGGTTCTCATGATCATGAACTCCCCTTGACCTACTTCAAAAGCTTCTCCTTCATCCATCAGATGAACTTTACATCCTTGTATTTGTATCAGAAGTTCTTGTTTCAGATCTTTGGATGCTGCTGAGTATTCTTCAACCCTTTCAGCTATTGAGGTTCCCATGGGTCTCATAGTTTGGGAGCCACTAAAGCAACTTCCCATACCGGCTTTGCTTCTGTTGATGATAGGGATAATTCTAAATCTTTCAACTATTTCTTCTTATAGATTTTCATAATTATTAAACTAAAAAATAGTAAATATTTGTTATATAAACTTATTAAGCGATGTTCTTTTAAGAAATTTAAAAATATAAAAATTCTATTAAGAATATATTAAAAATTACAATAAATGCATACTAAAAATATTTATTTTTTACATTTTTGAACCTGTACTTTAAAATAATAAACATAAACACACTTTGTTTAATATTTATTTTATAAACTAATAAGAAAGGGAAAGGTCTTCGTTGCCATGGATTCTTTTGTTCGTTGCTTTATTCTGTCACTGATATTCGGTAATAAGATGATATGACTTTCGGTGGAATGCATTATAAAGAAAATATAGAGACCTTCTTGAAAACTGTGTAATTATGGCATTACAGCTTACCGTAGTGTGAAATCAAAGACTATTTACTTTGTTGACTATTATATTGAAAATTTCACCCGGGAATTTTGCCTTTGCTTTCTTTCGAAATGGATCTTCTGTAGTAAACATGTCACTGCATTAGATTTCATTTATTAAAATTGTATTAACATAAATTAAATAATATAGTTTAACGATTAAATTTAAAACTGCATCTTTACGGTGAATGTTACACCCGAATCTGGATCGCCTGCAGTTCTGGCAGGAACTGCAGGCTGCAGTTTTCCTCTTGCTTAAGCGACCAACAAAAAGGCTTAAATATGCAGAAATGCGCCTAAGCGGGCAAGAATAGACTTTTAAGCGAAATTCGCTTAAGCGACCATATTAGGCTTAAGCGAATTCCAAATAGCTTAAGCCCTCCCAAGCGAAAAAGAAAAATTTGAAGCGAAAATAGATCAGAGAGGCATGTTTTTCAGTCACCTATTTCGCTTAAGCTAATCGTTAATAGCTTAAGCTAATTTAAAATCGCTTAAGCCCCTAGTAAGCGAAAAAGAAATATTTGAAGCGAAAATAGACCATAGAAAAATGTTTTTCAGTCACCTATTTCGCTTAAGCTAATCGTTAATAACTTAAGCTAATTTAAAATCGCTCAAGCCACGACCAGCGAATTTAATTATTATTAAGCGAATGTAAAACAGAGAGCACATGTTTCAGGCAGTGTAATTAGCTTGAGTGAAATTTAAATAGCTTAAGCTAATTGTGGCAGGGCTTAAGCCAGACTTTTACAAATGCAACTAAATTTTTTTAGCTTAAGTGATTTTTATCAGCTTAAGCGAATTTATCAGAAATTACATTTACCTATACATGCTGATATAATCGCTTAAGCCCATATCTGTAGCTTAAGCGAAATATATAGGCGCTTGGGCGAAATTGGATGGCTTAAGCGAAATTTTACAAAAAATCCAACCTAATCCTAATACAGACAACAATTAAGGGGGCCAAAATACACTTGATTACATATAAATTACGTCAAACTTACATCTTACACAAAAAGGAGTTGACAAGCACATAGAAAATGGTTGGCAAGATGACTATTTTTCGGGTAACTGAGTTTCAATTTACAAACAGAAAAATTCAGAGTAAATGATACTGCAAAATTATTCTAATTACCAATTGTGATAAATATTAAGACCCATTAATGAGAACTATAGGAATAAGTATTCAAGAACTACTAATGAAATTCATTAACGAGAACTATATTATTAAGCATTCAAGAACTACAAATGAAATTCATTACATAACATAACACAAAATGTTGACTCATTAAAATCTATTACAATAAAATCCCAATTATAATCATGTGGCTCCAACATTGTCATCCTCTTGCATTGCTTGTGGCTCATCTCCCTCATCATGTCCCTCTTCTTCCTGTAATTGTTGACCTTCTTGTACATCTCCCCCATCATTTTCCTCAATGTCCTGAATGTCCTCGTGGAGTCCTTCCTCTGGCTGTGGATCTGGATCCTGTGTAGTTTCATCTTGAAATGTGAAGGTAGGGTTATCTCCAGGCCATGATACAGCTGCTGCAAAAGTCTCGGGTGTGGGCCATGGGAAAGCAGAATCCTGACCATGATGTTGGTGTAGAGCGAACTTATGGAAAGATATGATGAAGGTAATGAGGATAATGGTCAAATAAAAATTACAAGAGTAATTAAAATAGTAAAGGAGATAACATTTACTTGTAGAAGGACTCGTTTAGGTGAGTGTAAGCACGATTATTTGCTGCTAATTGTTGCTTTATATGAGTGAGATGGCATATAAGAGTTGGATCTGTTTGTGGTGCTTCAGGCATAGATGGTCGTGTTCGTGGTTGTGTTGGTTGCGATGTAGATGGTACAGATGAAGACGGTTGAGAATAATCTCCTACCGGTTGTTCCATTGGATTGGTGCAATAATTTCTGATGAACTGATAATTAATTAGTTTCTTCAAAGTAATTGTTTGATTGGAGGTGTCTGGAATTGTAACACCTTGGGAAGCACACAGAGCAGTGATTAGTGATGGAAATCCCAAAGGTCTTGTTGTTGATGCAGTACTGGAGGTATTGGACAATACAAACTAGTGCAACTCATCTGAAATTATGGCTGCTATGTCAACAGACATCCCCTCCATGATGCTGTATATCAAATATGCTCGGGGCATCCGGACATCTGAGGTGTGTGGGGTTGGGGCTATGTTGGCAAAGAGAAAGGATGCCCATATTTGGGCCAAAGTAGTCAAAGACTGCCTTTTGAAGCGCATTGGCTTATTCGCTGCATTTGTTTCATAGGATTTTCCAGGGATGCATAAGGTGTTAGCTACCGTGTCATCTGAAAAACCTGACAAAGAGCCTCGATGTTGTTGGTATTGGCATAGCTCCCCTTCTCCCAAGGTCAGAGGGTTGCCTAACAGGGCTGATATTGCATCTCTGTCATAAGCAACAGTGTGTCTACAAACCCAAGACTTCCGCTCTGAATTGTGTGGGATCAATGGCCATGCATTTGCATAAAATTCTTTGAGAATTACCTTATGAATTTGGTTAGGGAGATTTGCCAAGAATTGCCATTTTCTTCTTATAATCTCCTGCACAAACTCTTCATATTGTCCTTTTTGTAAAGAGACGTTCCTCTCAGGTAGCAATTCCCTACATTGTAAGTCAAGAAATCTCTGAGCCTTGGCCCTGGTTTTGAACCTAAATCTATCAAATGATATGATTTCTGTTTCAGCAGTTTGAGCTTGTGATTGTTGATGTTGTTCAACAGGTTCATCATGTTGCTGTGAACCTTGCCCAATTTCAGGTCTTTGCCTCTTTCTTTGAGGAATAGACTTCTTTGGTGCCATCCTGAAATAAAAAACAAATTACAAGATTTATTGTTACTCACCTTCGAATTACGGAAGACTGAACATAAGTTTATATAGTAAGATTTTAAACAAATAAAGTATCAGTATCTTGCTAAGTAACAATAAATTTTTTATATAACAAAGAACAGAGCTAATTAATTGACTAATTAACATTCAGAAATTTAAACAATAAAAATAAAATTCTAGTCTTTGAGCGATTGTAGACCATTAGATAGGTGTGTTCATTCTATTCCATCCTCTGTTGATAATTATTCCTTAATAAGATGTGAAAGAAGGATAACAACTCAATATGCACAAAATGGACAACAGCAGAACACAGGGGTACTTGCTAGGTTTGTCTCTAATTCTTCTCAGTTATCATAGTCCAAATTTATGCAGCAGAAATTGTAGTTTAGGAAGCCTTATTTTAGTTCTATTGAAAGCAATGCATAAGGTTCATGAATCTATTTCAGTAAGCAAATGATAGGGTAATGCAAGCCTAATTTTAATGTTCTAAACTCTAGCATAGTATTAGAAATGAAATGTCAAGACTTAAGTATATAAACTGTGATTAAATCTCACCTTTGAATGTTTCGCCCAAGCTAAAATTTGTGGCTTAAGCGAAACCTTCAACCTTTCCATTTCCCTATGAATAAATTTTTGCTTAAGCGAACTAAACCCGCTTAAGCAAAAATTACAGAGGCTTCCAACAGAGGCACTAAACCCTTAAACAACCATGAATAACAGAGGCAAGAAAACTAACCCTAAACCCTAAAATTAATGTTCTAAATCAGTCCAAACATAGACACAATAATACTAATCTCATTCATATATCATAATATTGAACACATGAAAGTCTTATAATCTCATGCAGAAGTTAAGAATAATAGAATCGTTAGACGCTTAAGCGACAACGAAAGTGAGTTTTCAGGGACCCCTAAACTATATTGAACAGAACATAAAGCATGCATTATGTACCTGAGTTAAAAATGGAAGCTTGAACTTGATCTGAAACTGCAAACAGAGACGTTTAGGGAAGATGAAAGTTTAAAACTTTCAGAGAATAATAGAAAAGGGTTGGAATGGAAACGAGACAGTGTGATTCCAATTTTTTAAAAACCAACAGTCGAATATTTCGCTTAAGCGATATTTGGTCACTTAAGCGAAAAGTCACTAAAGCGAAAATTTTCGGCTTAGCAAAAAGGGTTAGCGAATACGGCTTAAGCGAATTAGCTATGGCTTAAGTGAATTTGATAGGAATTTTGGCGCCAAGGATATATTACCTTACTTATTTCTGAAGAAAGAAGTTTTATCTATTTTTACTCTTCGTGAAATAATTAGTACAGAATATTATCATTGGTTATTGTTAGTAAGGACTTATTTTACACTCACGGTGAGGATAAACGACACAAGTTCGCAGAAATAAAATCCATTTCGGGTTAGACTGTGACAAAGAAAGTCTTCAAACATACTAAAGGTGCACATTTTACCATTTCATCTGTTATATAACATTATTTTGGTCAAAATATTTATCATGTTTACTATTATTTTATTGGACTGAAGAATGGATGTCGCAAGGAAACCAAGTGTCAGGCAAGAGTTTAAGAGTCTTGAGCAAGCATGGCGATTTTGGTGTGAATATGGCAAGCTGGCAGGATTTGGAGTCAGGAAACAATATTTTAACAAGCGAAAGGTAGATGGT